AGTCCGTGTGAAGGGCCGGAGTTGACTCAAGTCTGTCATTTCCCAAAGAGGCCCAATTATGTTCACGCCCCAAAGTGATGTGCGCTTAGACTTGATTATCTCACATCTCTGCTCGTTATGACTGTGGTAGGCTGCGATTGATGAAAAGGGTCTGAATGTTTTGGCAAGTGGCAGTCTGTGTGACAGGAGAGGAGCCGGTTTAAGGTTTTAGTGAATTGACCAGTTGAGATTAAATAATATGATTGAGATAGAGATCAGCAAATCAGGAATACATGTGTTTCTGAATTGTTTTTTGTTTAACCTTGCTGAAGTCCCATGAAGTGCTGCAGCTTGATTGATCTCAACGGATACTTCAGAGATGGTTGAGTACAGTCCTGTGAGGATGCTTTGTTGAAGGATAGACTTTTTTGTGCTAGAATAATGCTCCGATGCTCCAAGTGGGGCAGTGCAAAGGTCAAGGGCACAGATAGTTTGAATGATGAATTAGGGAGGCCATTAACATACAAGCTGTATATATAATGTACTGTTTCTCAAAGTCGGGGCACAAAATAAAACACAGATTGTAGATACATTTTGTCAATAAACACAATATATATGTATCGTACACACACTGTATTTGTGTTTATTTGAAGGGACAGTCATTTGATTGTTCTGATGGAGAATACAAGCTGAATACTGTTTTATGGTTTTGTTTCAGACTGCACACCAGCAGATGAAACTGTCAGTTACTAAAACCGGTCTTGATAAAAGAATCAAGTAGTAGTTGTCCCGTAATCGCACTCACAGACACACGCTTATTCACATTTATTCACCCCAAACTATTGTACATATTTTTTAGTGGTAGGGGAAACAGGAGCACAGGGAGAACATGCAAATCCCACATAGAAAGGCCCCTATCTGGCAGCAAAACACACGCAGTTTAATTGAAGAACTCCTGCCATTTTCCATCATCTTGTGTGTGTGTGTGTGTGTGTGTGTCCAGAATATTCTGTTCATCAATACTGGTGTTCTTAAATTGTCCTCCAGGGAGAAGCAAAGTTGTATATATTGAGTAATTGACTGATTGATTGCTGATCCTGGGAACATTCTAGTACGTAAACAATCCCAGGTCAAGGTTCAGGCTGGACGTCTTCCCCAGAGATAGAGAGCCCTAATCTTAGCCTCCATTCCCCTGGAGCAGTAAACGTTGTATGATTCTAACATCTCAGAGCAGAGCACTCAGATTGAAAAGAACCTCCAACAGAATGCAGCCACAATGTTGATTTTGAGAACAGTGACCCTTTGGATATTTCAAGATTATGAGCAGATCAAATTAGTTTTTCATTGGGGTCCTCTGGCATTTTTGAACGCTATGATGCCCCAGCTGCAATACATACAAAAATCATACAGTACTCCGTAAACTTATCAATCTATTTACATCATTTGTCTGAGCTTTCAGGAGAAAGCTCAGACAAAAAAACTATTTCTGTATAACAACTTTAATTGTGAAATCCTATGATATCGACTCCTTACAAAGTGACATATGCCAAGAATCTGTTTGTTATAAATGTGATGATTATGGCTTAGATTTGTCAAAAATATTGTCATTTTCTGAGATGTTTTATTTGGGGTTTCTGCAAGCCAATTATCAACATTATAACAAATCAAGTGTTGAGATATCTCACTATGTATCCACTGAGTCTGTCATTTATTAGTTTCGCATTCTAAGTTGAATTACAGATAATAATATAGACTTAAATTAACCTCTCGGACCTCCCAAACTTATAGCGGGGTATATAACTTATACCAAATAGCTGAATGAGTGACAGCTCTCCAATGTGTGGGCGGGGTCAGCCCTCACATAAATAAATACAGGTGAGACATGGAAAAGTTTAATTTCGTACTTTTCCTAAAATTTGAAACCAATGTATGACACAGACTCAATAGATGCAAAGTCACATATGCCAAGCCTTTGTTTGATATAATGTTGATGATTGTTGCTTATTGTCCATATTTTGGGGGTTTTAATTATCAACGTTATAAGAACTAAGACATATCTCTCATGTTTGAGATAAATGTATATTAGTTTCACATTGTAAGATGGAACAAAGGTCTGAGGGCCGGCTCCAGCTCGTGGTGCCTGAGACGAGACATAAACCCTGGAGACAGGGCCTTCTCTGAGGGTGGACCACAGTCTTGCAACCCCCCCACATAAAAACAACTGAAACCCAATTTCATTTACTGGCTTTTAACACCACGTGAGAGTTGTGTGGTCCTCTGTTTTATCTTTTATTTTTGCTTTTCCATTTATGTATTTATTACTGGTATTTTAATGTAATTGTTTTAATGTCTCAATGTTTTGTTTATCTTAATTTTGTTATACATTACGCTGCATCAAACTTGTATGTTTAAATGTTTAACTTTTGTCTCTGAGCACTTGGAAAACTTTTCTAAAATGTGGATTGGGTTGTATTAAAAAAGGAAAACTTTGAACAATCTAGTTTTGGATGTAGACTTTGAACAGCTGGAGTGCTATTCGCAGACAGATAAATTGAACAACTCAGATTTGGCTGATTCACTGTTATTTGTATTGAATTGTTGGACTGTCTCAAAGATGCATTGAAAAGTATAAATCAGATCTGGATCAGCAGAGACCTTGAAATAATGAAAATGTGTTATTATATTTTTCAGTCTCAGCATTTGGCAAATACGTTTTCTTTGGTCTCTCGCGTCTACATCTGATGCCCCACAATGCATCAGGAGTGGTAAATGTCACTGTGGTGGCGTTTCTCTGCCTTTCTCTTCTACTTTGCCTTTATTATTTATCCCAGCAGACGAGCAGAGAATGTGAGGAGCATAATGCAAGTCCTATTAAACAGAACAGACTGAGCACAGTCTCCTCATTTCTGATTCTCTCAATCATATGAAACATCACATTTGGAAGTACAATTTGAAAAACCTGCATGACCTGATATGTTCTGATATGTTCTTTTAGAGATCTTTAAACAGAGCTTTACTTCACATAAAGATTGTGCACTAAACAGAATGACACTCTGTAGATGTAACCACACAAACACAAACACACACACACGTGTGTGTTTGTGACAAACACATGTACGCGTGTTTGTGCGAGCATATACATGCAAAAATCATACTGTACTCCTTAAACTAATATACATGCGCACACAAAGACACACAACTTGCGCTTATACTTTGGGTTTATAGTCTGTTCCTTTTGGTTTATTGCCATTTATACAGTAGTGTTTGTTGGGCTCTGGTTGTGTTTGTGTGTGTGTGCCATAAAAAACCTTCTCATAACTTGTTGTTGCTGTTTTCTAACATGTATGATACTGGACTAAATAGTGTTAGAATCACTTTTCTGCATGTTTTGTCTGTTTGCACCAACATCTCAATCTCTAAGACTTTCAGAATATTATCTCACATTCTCTGTAGTCATAGCACACAATATTCTGTGAGTCTTGAAAATCAGTAAAATCATCATAAATGGCTGGCGGTCAAAGAGCTACGGAGGGCACAACCTAAAATCGACTTTTTCTCTTGTCATTTACAGAAACAAACAGCAGAAACAGCTTTGATGATTTTTACGTTATTTATGCTTGTTTGAGTTCTTAGTGATATTTGTTGAGTCATTGGACTAGCACCACCCAGTGTTGGAGGAGCTACAGTATGGTGGCTTGAATGAAAAATGTAAAATTGCTGGAGCAGCGTAATGCATTTGACAAAGGGACACAGCGATGTGGGACAAGAGGAATTAAAGTACATTCTGTAAAATAGTGTGAGCTCAATCTAAACATTTAAGATTAACCATTTGTTTAATAAAGAGCCCTGGGGTTCATGGATTATCATATTATAGAGAACAGAATGAGGTCCTCCCCTGACGTTTGTAGCCAACAGTAAAATGGTGAACATGGATTCCCGGTTTTATCAGCATTTTGAACGAGGCTGCAGAGTTTATGCTTTTGTGGTTTTCCATCACTTAAACGAAAGTGAATTATTTACGTGGATTCTATCAGACAAGTTTATGTCTTCCGCTCACTCCCTGTCTGTCACTTCCTTGGATTTTGCTTGTGCACATTTTCTTGTTAGATGCCGTATATTTCTGAAACTTGACAACGGAAAACTACCAAATGCTCTTCATGAGCTAATGCATTTTTCAGTGAGACGAGATAAAAGGCTTTTAGGGCTTCCCCATTAAACGCAGCTCCCTCTCCTCTTCTCTTCACCCCATCGACCCCTGTCGGCAAGTTTCTCAAAAATGGGAATACAGACAGGATTAAAATGTAATATGATATCTGGATTATAATATTGCCACCCCTGTGAGTTGCTTCTTTGACGTACACTAATCCCATGACAAAATTAGTCAAATTATAACTATAATTCTTCAAGCTGGGACACCTCTCAAAGTTTAGTGGGCTGGACTAGGTTAATATTTTAATATTAATAATAATCAGAAATTAAAAATAAAAACTGGGATTTTATTTGTTTTAATAGTTCTATACCAATATCATTCACAAGCCACTGCTGTGCTGGGGCAAACTGACAGAAGTGTGCCATTGGGCTCTCCAACCACCACCAAGCCTTTACGCACACACCAGACTCCTTCTAGCAATGTGGGTGAAGTGTCTTGGCAATGGACACAAAAACAGTTTGGCACTTTACAGCCGCTGCCGCCCCACTGTGGCACCTGTTGCTCCCAGAGGTCTCCCATCACAGTAATAACCAGACTCTGCCCTGCTTAGCTTCAGAGGTCTGACGGGATCTGTCTTTCACCATATTGATATGTGTTGATTATTATATGATCTCTGCAGAATAGAACCAATATCCACCACTGTTGTTGGCCCTGCTCTCATAATCTAACACCAATATTAGTTTTCTCCTGAAAGCCAAATATCCCGGGGTAGGTTTAAGTTGTGTATATTGTAATAATGAGTGTCTCTGTGTCTGCAGAATGAGTGAGAGGGAAAGCTGTGGTCATGCTGTGGAAACGCTGAGCTGCTGTGATGGGCTCTGAGGAGCACGCTGCCATCATGTCCCAGAAGATCTCCTCTGTGTCTCGCAGCAACAGCAGCTCATCCTCCAAACACGACAGCCGCCAGGTACAATACCCACGACACACGCTGACGACCAGCTCTGCATGGACAATGAGCTTCTGACAGTGAACACTGTTAACTACAGATTATGAATGCACTTTACAATAGGGCCCTGAAGGTGTTTGACCAAAAGCCAATTCAATATCACTGCTGCAAGATGTTGTTAAAATACAGCTTTCATATTCTCAAACTGTAAACATTTTAGTATCTTAAAATCGTGTTTTGAATGTGTTCATGGATTTGCTGTGTTATTACGCTGCAGGACTATGGCAGGTCCAGCAGAGCAGCCTCAGGCGGAGACTGTTAGGTTTTGTGGCAAAGAACATATTTTTCCCAAACAATGTTCTCTGGGAGAGACGCCAGTCTATGGAACACGTTCCCTGTATTTAAAATCTGGGACTGAGCTCGGTACGATCAAGAAAGAAACTAAATCTTGGAAGTGCATGCACCCATTCATGAGTAGTGTGATTTTACTGTGTATTCTACAATTGTTTCTCTGTTGTGCTTCTAATATTGTACTTTATGTAAAAAAAGGTTTTTACAATTAAATAAATTCAATTTCATTTCATTCGGCAGACCTTCTAGAACTTTTATTATTATTTAGAGTCATAAAATGTCTTCTCTGCATGTTTACATTTATGTGAGGTTATAATTGATGATGAAAGAATTAAAAAAGGATTAATTTGTTACAAAATTAGTTGACAACTATTTCAATAATTGATTTAGTTGTGATTAATCAATTAACTTGTTACAGCCCAAGTATATTTCCTTTTCTTTCAATATCTGTATTTGATTTACAGTAAGATAATCTAGTTTAGCACTAATTTTAGAAATCACTAAACTCCAATGTTCAATCATTATTCAAAACCTCTTTGTACATGAATGTGGGTGTGTACTTTTAAAAAACATGTGTTCCTTGCTCTCGAAACGGTTTAGTTTTCACATACATGTGTTTTGAGCCTCTATCACATCTTCAGATCAGTTTTTTCTTTCAGACAGAAATGTGAAAAACAGAGGATACGCCCTCAGCCCTAAGCGTTAAAGAGTGACTCACTTTGCCCTTTCTTACAAGTGCAAAAGAGGAAACACAATTCTAAGATGAAAACAGCTTGTTGTGGTCTGATTTGTCCACAACATTTGACTTTTACAGGACTCTTTCTATTGGGACACTAAACTTTATTGTTAATCTAAAATAAAATGGTAAAAAACCCAGGCATCTTTCTATACCAGTCCCTAATAAAACATGCGATAAGATAAAATACTTGAATGAGACATAGAAACTCAATTCGCTGCCACTGCATCAATGAACTGAAGCAGATGTGGCTGTCACGAGGCCGAAGGGAAATGCCAAAAGTCTAAACTCTTATTAAAAAATGTTTGTTTTCCGGTCTATCGCTCTTGCCTGCAGCTCCCTCTGTCGTTGCGCAGACTGGTCCCTGTCACATGAAGCTCACAGAACACACTGGCCGTCTTTGCTGCTGGATGCATCCCATTAAAAATCTCAGAAAAATGGAAATGTTTAGTTTTATTACTTGCATTCTGGATGGGTCGAACTCACAGCTGTAATTGGTTTCATGATGGGCATAAAACAAAGGGCGTTTGGGACACGCGAGCTCGTCTTTTCTCTGATAACCATGCTCCTGGTGTAATCGGCAGAGGATCTTGACCTTGAAGAACGGCTCCGAGGCAACGTCTGGCACTGACTCACTGCACAACTCGCTGATCATCGAGCCGGAGCCTGTAGCCACGCCCCCCTGCAGAGCTCTCATTTATTATTTATTTCACATAGGCATCGCCAAAATAATCAACACTGGATTAAGAACAGTCTCCTCTGAGCCCACAGAGAACTGGGTCATCGTTACAAACCGGATACAAAAAGGTTCATTTTGTCATCATCAAGTCAAATATATATATTGCTGAATAATCCACTATTTAGCTGTGGGTTATGATTGTATTCAGTAGATGGGCAGGAAGCGAGGTCAACATAAAGGGCGCTGACGTAACAGATTGGCAGCCTGCTTCTGCCAGTCTACCCCAGGGCAGTTGTGACCACAGCAGTAACTTACTGCCACTATTTTAGAAGTGGATAAATAGTATAATGACAATAGCAATAATAAAGTTTAATAATAATAATAATAAAGTTTATTTTGATCAAATACGTGTACAAGAAACAAAAGCAGAATAAATAGTATTGTAAAGTTTATAAAAAAATAAAAAAAAGTGTTTAAGTTGCATTAAATGTAGTGTCTGCAACTTAAATTGCATTTCATTTTGAAAAGAATGTACATTTTTGATCCTGGAGTATCATCTTTATTAAGTATTTTTCAAAACAAATATATTTAAAACAGTTCCTCCCGATTCGTGTACTTTTGCGTTCAATACATTTTCTATTTTTGAAGGGAAATGGAAAATTGAAAAAAGGCTATTTTGCATTTTCAGGCACACAGCAATATACAAAAATGACCATTTTGGTTTTTTTCATCTCAAAATCTCATACGTCCTCCGTGATTATCACAAATTATCAGGGGTCCACAGGTAATACTAATCCCGTGCGAGTAAACAAACTTGTTTCACTCCCGGGTAATCGATTGACGCCGAAATGTTTTATATAGATATTAAAACAAGGTTAATTATTGCATTTTCTAGGTCCCAAATCCGTTTATTATAATATACAGTGCCTTGCGAAAGTATTCGGCCCCCTGTATGTATGTCTCTTTTAAGCAATGAAAAAAAACAAAATGGTCATTTTTGTAGATTGCTGCGTGCCTGAAAATTGATTTGGCATTTCCCTTCAAAAATAGAAAATGTGTTGAACGCAAAAGTACACGGACCACTCCCATTGGAATAAGCGTAACCAGACTTTCTGGAGGAGAATAGTTAGACCAATGGTGATACTAACATAACATAAGTGTTATGTTATGTTAGTATCACCATTGGTCTAACTATTCTCCTCCAGAAAGTCTGGTGAGGGGCTATTGAAGATTTGAATTAATTGCGTCCAATCAGGGAGCCTAACCCTAATCCTAACCCTTTACCTGGGGTACCTAACTTTTTTTAAAATCATAAATACATGTAATACAATGATACAGAAAGAGCTGTGTAAATTAAAGTAATGTGAAAACATAGAAAACATTAAATGTAAAAAGTGAATCATGTCTTCTTCATATCTGGCGTAGAAAGTTCTAATCACGGAAAATAAACTAGTACTACTTATTTGGATGTAACAGCCTGACAGATCGTTGTTAGTCTGATCGTTAGTCACTTTTAGAATTATGTATTTTATTGGGATCAATAAAGTACCTGTCTATCTATCTATATATTCAATTACATTTATTCTTGTTTAACCCTAAATCACAACAGTAGTTAATAATAATAATATTGCATTGGTTTTTTTGGACACTCAAAGACGCTTCACATGTCATTATTCATTCACTCCATACACGGTGGTGATAAACTTCTACTGTAGCCACAGCTGCCCTGGGGCACACTGACAGAGGCGAGGCAACCAGTATGTGCCATCGGCCCCTCCGACCCCCACCAACCATTCACACAGACACCAGACTCATTCTAGGCAATGGGGGTGAAGTGTCGTGCCTAAGGACACAACAGCAGTCTGGCACTTTATAGCCGCAGCCGCCCCACTGTGGCTGGTGTTCCCAGAGGTTAAGTGTCTTGCCAAGGGCACAACAACAGCAGACAGTGGGAGTTGATGGTGAAGGTCGAGCTCGAACCCTCAACCCTCTGGCTCTAAGGCCAATGCTCTACCAACTGAGCTACTGAGCCATTGGTCCAAAAGGGGCAGATGATCAATGTCTATAAACGTTGTTGAATGTTGAGTGTCCTAGATCATCTACAAGGAAAAACTCTAATAAGTCTAATCAATCCAAACCATAGCAGAGGTGTTCTTACGTACAGATAAGACACGTAGGCTTGGATTTTAAAAACCTGTAAAAAATAAAATGACGTACTGTTCCTTTAAGCAAACATTCAGAGTACACACACTTAATAATCAAAACAACAAAACCACACAAATTATCTTCACCTCTGCACAAAAACATTATGTAACCTATTCTCAGTGTCCCCTAATGTATTTGTAATCCTCAGCTTTCCCGGAACTCTCGCTGCAGGGCGCTCACCTTCTGGATTAGTCTGGGAGGAAACATAATTTGTATTTTTGAGGGATTTGATTCGTTGTGTGTTGAATTCTGAGCAGGAAATGGTTTTGGCAAGCAGCGACAATAGGCAGATATGAGCCAATTTTAACAAAATGGACAGAAACAGAGCTTTACAAATGTAGTTTTTATAATGGCATGGTTAACTTAGAAATTGCCTAAAAATGAGAAATCCCAGTTGGCCGCTTCTAGTTTTAGAAGCGTAATTACTCTTCCTAACTATTTGACTTTGTCCGTATCTGTATGTAGTTTATTTCTATGTCATTCTTTTCATGAAAATGTCCTGTATTTTTCAGTTGTTTGGCAACCAACATTGTATGGTGGTTAAAGAAGCCATACCCGATTTTTTTTAATGAGTTCATAAAAATGTGTATTACTATATACAAGTTGTATTATAATCAGTAATTTAATTGAAAACTTGAGCTCATGGATTCAGCTTGTGCATGAATTCAGGCTGGTCCCAGCTCAAAAGTGGCCAAAATGACGTGCGCTGACATGCTTGCAATACCACCCCGGGCCGATGGGGGTGGACCCGGAATAAGAATTAGTCAATGCTAACATATAGCATCTTCTTACCTCTCAAAAACGTCTTTACAGGATGGACCAAAAGTTGGCTCTTGGCCCAAAGCTCCGTTCCACATGTGTGTCAATGCTGAGGGGGGTGAATTTTTTTGGTCCACTCTAGTTTACTTGCTGTGAATTTTTGAAGTCTCTCGTTTAAATTAATGAGTCTTGCGCCGGCTGACACATGCGCAGATGCGTTTTTTTCACAATTTTCTTGTGGGCGGGACCACTCGCAGCCATTTTGGATAGCTCCAGTAGAGCACATTTTTTGGCCCATTAGTTAGAAAGGCGGAGATAGGCGTGACTACGTCCGTCAATATATAGTCTATGGTTAAGAGTAGAAACTTAGCGTGTCGCTCGTAAACACAATAGCGTGTTAGCAGAATTGGCTATAACTCCTCTTGCTGTTACTGCATACACAGCAAAACAATCCAAAAAGTGAGAAAGAGAAGAGGGGAATTAAAGCGAAAAAATTATCATAGAAGAATTCAAGCCCGGGTGAACATAGCTAGCTTACATCGTATCCTCTGGAGAGACCGCCTCGGACTATCTATGCTCGGACCACATTCGGACGCGAAACTAGCAGTAATCTTTCAGTTATATATTGTGTTAGCAGTGCGTTGCTTTTGTACCATTTCATCAGTGATTGTTGTACAGCTTTCAAGAAGTTGTACTATTGCTAATGTTTGCATATGTATCAGATCGCAAATAATACTAGATGGCTTTGTGGAATGAGAGCGTAGGGGAAATGAGAAGCCTGTGAGCGAGTTGAATGCTAAACATTCAAACCTGGTATAGCTCCTTTAAAGCCCTCTTTTCATGGTGCTGGTTCTGGTTCTGAGCCGAGTCAGTTTGGTTTTTTTAGCATTTAGCATTAGCTTTTCAACAAACTATTTTTTGCTGTATTACAAGTTATATTAACCAGTTTTAGCACTTAGTGACAGTGAATAAACGTAAAAAACCTTATAAATAATTAACTCTGGTGGGATTTTTCACAATTCCATTGGTTTGCCTGCATCAGTCAAAATAACTAGCAGTTTCAGAGTTCTGGGATTCCTTGCATTAAAAAAACTGGCTTATATTTCAACCTGTCACATGCATAAAATATGTTTGTTTGTGACATCATTTGAAACTACATGATGTAAATGTACAGTGCGTGTGTCCTGGGATTTCACTGGGTGTTGTTCCCACAGGACAGCTGGGAGATTGTGGATGGTCTCAGAGGAGGCTACAGCTGCGTCCAGGAGCCCCAAAGACAAGAGGGCTTCCTGCTCAAGAGGAGGAAGTGGCCCCTGAAGGGATGGCACAAGGTATTTCAACATCACATTTATCTATAAAGCAAAAGTAGGCTAGAAAATGTCCTTAGTCTTCTGATTAATTTGTGGCCGGGTCACAGAGGCAGGTATCTGAGCATAGAGCAGAGATCTCTCCTTTAGGTTTCCAGTTTTTCTGGTGAAATCTAGGTTTGGTTATTACTTAACCCAGAATTGACAAACTCATTTTTTTCAGGGGCATACATTTAAAACTAAGATCTGGTTGGGGGAAAGTATAAAAGTGCGTGACCTCTGAATGGCACATGGTAATACAACATTTAATGTGTCTGTGAAGCAAACAGAAGCCAAAAATGGTAGAAAACTAAATGTTTGGGGTAATTTCTTAGAATTCCATTGGCCTGAATGGGAGCAGTCAAAATGATGGTTGCTGTGGGTTGGGGTTAGGGTTTCATAATTCTGGGAGTCCTGATTGAAAGATATTCATACATCGTTCATTATTTATGACACTAATTGCATGTAGCCAGTGCAGCCAGAGTAACTCGAGGGGCAGTGAGGGAAGACTGCGTCCTCCCCCTCAGAAAAACTGCATTTGGTCAGGCCGTGTTTTCTTATAAAGCCTCCCAGCAGTGGAACTCAGTGCCTGAAACAATTCGCGAGTCTTCCTCATTTAATTCATTTTTTAAAAAAGCCAAAAAGTGGCTCGTGGAGACACAGACTTGTGAGCACTAGTTATATTGAAAATGTATACTTTGCTCATTTCATGTACTATGTATGTATGCAATTATATTGTGTCTTGTAAATTGCTATGTGATTTTAATCTTGCTTTTTCAGGCTGGCTTTGACATCTGCCAAAGGGTCTACCGATGAAAATTAGCTTTTCTGCTAACTCGGGCATATTTACATTGTAAAATGTTGATTAATGTGCACTGTCCCTTTTCAAATGAATAAAATCTTAAAAATCTTAAATGTAGTGGACCAAACATAAGGCAAGGACAACAGGTGTCAAATCTTCTATAATTTAATTCAGATCCTAAAAAAAATTACAAATATTTGGGGTAAAGTAAAGTAACAACCTAAAAGGAAAAAAACTAAAGATAAAGCCCCACACCAAGAACTAAGGAGTGGCTTAATTACAAGTGAGTAATCCAAGTTAACACCGAGGAGGAAACTGAAGGAAAATAATGATGTGCAGCAGTGTCTCTTTCCTCCCTCCGTGTCCTTGGAACCAGTTGACTCTCCTGGGGTATAAAATGACCTACTGCCCTCCAATCTTGTCCTTTGGCTTGCCTTACAAAAAGACAACAGTGAGGGATTTCTATAAAAAAATAAAATAAAGTAGAGTAACATGAAATACTAACACTGTGGAGTGGTGCTAGAAGAATCCACCACATTGCACAGATTTTCAGACTGTCAAAGCTGCGGTAATGAACATGTTTGTGGTTTCACAGGCTGACCAAGGCTATAGGAGCCTTTTGTTTAACTCTAACTGAAAGAGTGGAATGCAAAGTGTTTCCTAGTCAAAAAGAAAAATCCGACTTCTAACACTTTTACTGGAAGTCGGATGCTGCTATAGTTGCAGTTGTGCTTGAAAGTTTGCACACCCAGCCTTAAGTTTCATTGTTTTCATTTTATTGTCAATATATTTTCTATTTTCAACTTGAAACATCACTGAAGTCAAGCTCCAGAATTAACCAAAAACAAGCGGTTGGCCTGTAAGAGATAAGATGGACAGAGTATCGTAGTCAAAGAATCAATAATGCAAGGAATATCTGAATGGACACTGGTTGAAGGAAGTGGACAGCATCTCTGTGTAATACAATCTTATGTAGCGTCTGTTTGTGTCTTCTCTAACAGGATATTCCTCTTGTCCAATAAGAAACCCAGAACACAGATTGATGTACCAATAGAAACAACTCTAACAACTAGTAACAACTGTAGCAAAACATTTGCGGTAAACACATCAGAAGGTCCAGCTCTTCTTGCATTCTTGGCCTAAGTTTGGACGAGTGTTGACATCTTATTGACTTGACATGACGCTATGTGGGAGACCAGATTCAGAATATGTTTTGTATCGCACCAGAAGCAGCTAATTCTAGCAGCATAGGGGATAAAAACCACACACAAAAAGTCAATGTCAATTTCACAAAACCATCAATCATTGAGTGATCTGTGGAGATCTTGATTGTTTGGGAGTCGGGGAGCATCCACCTTTTCAACAGATATTTGAGGAGATTTTTATTAGATGGGCGAAGAAAAACACCTTAGAGCCCTCTCACGTCCTCAGTATGAGCTCCTCTTATCAGGCCGCCGCTACAGAGTACCAAGTCAAGATAAGAAAAGATACCTCAACCGGTTTAAGAACTTGTTCCTACCCATATCTGTGCTCCTCCTGAATGCAGGTCATGTAGCAGAGCGGTTTATATCTGTGTCACTGTTGTGTTTTATGTCTGTCTCATCGGTATTTACAATGTAGCAGCCTGGTAGTCTAAGACACATTTACTATGGGATAAAACAAATGAATCAGCTCATGCATAGTGGCCCAGGAATTTACAGGAACTGGTGGCTTTTGCCAAGAAGAGCAGCTTTAACATCAGAGAAAATACAGAACCTCATCCACAACTACCAAAAAATAACTCCAAGCTGTCAGAGATGTTAAAGGGGCAATAGACGCTGTTGAGAACTGGGAGATGGAGATTTAAGGGAAGGTTTCAAATATGAGCAAGAGTGAGTTTGACGCACAATCCAAGTCTTAGTAGTGTGCAAAAAGTCGAAAATAGTGCTGACTCTGCACAGCTTTTGCTCCCTACACTGTTTTAAAGAGGGCCACACCCCCCGGTAGCCTGAACTAGCGTGCTGGATTTAAAGAAGCTATACCCAAGGTTTTTTCTAAGTAATTCATAAAAATGCTTTTTACTACATACAAGTTGTATCATGATACATAATTTAATTGAAAACTTTAGGTCATTGATTCAGCTGTGTATGAAATTTATGCCGTGAAAAGTGCTGAGTAGAGTCTTAGCGGGCCGTTTGTTCTCCTCCACTCACAGAACGATCAGCAAACAGCCTGCGTCCTCTAGCCTCTACAGCGCTGCAGTGGTTCTCACCCCCGCTCCTCGAGGCCTACGTCACTCACACTTCCTTTTCAAAATCTCCCTCCAAATGGGCGTAGCCTGGAGGGCTAAAGGGGACAGGCGGGGGGGTGAATGTAGGGCTTCAACTTCAAAATTTGAATATAATTCTAAAATAAAATAATATATATATATATTCGAACAAATATTAGACAGCCCTTATAATTCGAAATGTATTTAATGACTGCAAATAAAATAGTTAGCTCCCAAAGGTTTCACCAGGACATGCTAGGCAGGTAACGGCTAAGCTAGTTAGCTGTTTCATGGTAACTTCCGGGTTTTTCGCGATGGCTTTTTGTCACTTTAAAACAGTATTTTTGCCATGAAAACGTTGACAGCAAATTCTGAAATTGTCCGTGCACGTGTGTTAAGGATGTATATGTATACTGTATTGTCCGATTAACGTTTAATGGTGTTGATTAATTGATATTTATTTGTTTATTGAGCGTGGCTAGCTCCGCTAGCTTCTCTACACAGACAAGTGTGCAGAGAAACTGCACAGTGATAGTGACAGGCGCTGATAGCTTGTACTTGTGGCGTAATGGCAGTATTTTACACACCTGAATTACAAACAGAGATTGCATTGGGGCTGCGGTCATTATGGATTTGAGAGTTCTGTTATCAGGAAAAAATGATCGGAAGAATTGCATTCAAGTGAATGGAGTGCTGCTGCTGCTGTGAGGAGCTGTATAATAATTAGAATTATTATTATTATATAGAATATATTTTAATTTTTAAATTAATACATTTGGACGTGAAACTAGCGGTATTCTTTAACTCATAAATTGTGTTAGCAGTGCATTGCTACAGCTTACAAGAAGTTGCGCTAGCTAATGTTAGCATACGTATCAGATCGCAAATAAAACTAGATGGCTCTGTGTTATGAGAGCGTAGGGGAAATGAGAAGCCTTGTGAGCGAGTTGGGGGGCGGTGTTAAACATTCAAACATTGCAGAAACGGGTATAGCGCCTTTAAGAAAGGTGCAAAATATGAAAAAATAGAGAAATCTGCATAGCTATGTTTCTCCCAAGTTTCATTTATTTTACAGACCACAATAGTAATGTTTCAGGCTGAGGCCCATTAGAGATTTGATAACACTTTGAAGCAACTGTGGTGAAAGTTCATCATTCCAACAATATGCTCAAGGCAGTACTTTTCCACAACTTATTTTGGTTATCTAAAGGCCAAGCTACTGGCAAATGCTGATTGGACGGTCTCCATCCCTCCATGCTGTATAATCTCACTTGCAGTCTGTAACATCTTGTCTGTTTGTGCCCATCTCTATCATCACCAATAAAATCATGTCTTCTTCTGAAAGACACAATCCCCAGACGATTGTCACTTTCTTCATCCCTTCATCACACATGATAGAGACTTATGATCAGGGCCAGAAGAGGACTTTCTGTTATCATAATGATAACATAATGAAAAAAGGACATTATGATCTAAAAATAAATGGCTTCACACAACCGCCAACATAAAAAGTGTTAGTGTTCTCATTCATAATCTCATCGTCTTCTGTTTTCTATCACCACTGTATCTTTCGCTCCCAGTTTCCATCGCTTTCAAAGATCTATGTTGAAATTATTGCGCAGTGACTCATGAAGCCTCCACGCTTTCCCGGCCAGACTTTCCTCGTCTCTAAAGAACCATTACCCGTGGCACTCTTTGTTAATAGTATTGACGAACGCTCGGCTTTTTCACCTCTTTAAGCTTCCAACAGGATTTTTCTGACGTGCATTAAACAGTAAACATCACTTTGGTTTGTTCATTGGAGAAACACAACCAGATTACACTCAGACACTGGTGTTTTCTTTACTGCAACACAAAAACCTGCCTGTGACCTGACTGTGCCTCCTCTCTGCAGAGATACTTTTCACTGGACAAGGGCATTCTGAAATATGGAAAGTGCAGCGCTGATGTAAGTACAAAATCTGTTGCCTGCATTATCTACCCCTGGCACTCACCGATTATAAAGAACATTATGTGTGTTTTAATATGAAATATGCAAAAAGTCACGCCTTATTCTTGTATTGATCTAGTCTAGAATTATTTAGTCACAAAGAATTAAAGAAGAAGTATTACACAATTATTTTTGGCCGTTAAATTTAATATTGAGACTGTTTACTTTGTCTCTTGATGTTTTAGGCTGTGTAATAGTAACTCCAGTAGAAGATATATGGTGAAGCAAGTATGAGGGGTAAATATTGCTATGAGCCTGTTTTATCCCTATGCTACCATCAGAGGGAGCCGTAGAATTGTTCTTGTTTTTACCAAGTTTGAGATTTTTGGATGGAACTACAGACATGTGATTGTACAGATTGTATTTTCACTTGAGAAATTACCAAAACTAATTAGTGGGTGGTACAATGACGTCATTTTCTGTGCCAGAAGTTCCTGATATTAGCGTGGATGATTTTGCATAATTTGTTTCCTGGTTTTCTGGTGTTCTAAAATGTTGTATTTATAATGCTTTTTAAAAGTTTTTTTTCTGAATTCTCTTTTCCCTGCGTTCAATATATGTATTATTCACAAAAGGTGGTCATTTTTATTGACTCGAACAAAATTATCATCATAACAACTGTAATTTTATTTATTAATTTGACTTATTTCAGGGACATTATTTATTACAGTGTATATTAATGAACATGTATCATTATATACACTGCATATTAATGAACATGTATTATTATATACACTGCATACATATGTCAGAACCAGCCAAAGGGTTCCATGATCCCTAAAAGTTAAAAAAGACCTTAAAACCAACATGGATCATTTCAGATATACAACTGTAAGCCCACGCTGAAATATCGAAGAAACCTCTTTGGTATTTGGAATAATATAATCTTTATATCATATGTGTATTTCAGATATGCATTTTATGTTCCATCCATTCATTTCAAAACTACTTTCAACACAAAAACAGCAGACGCAGGGTTAGCTCGAACAAGACATATACTGTACTGTAATTGCGTTGCTTAACAGGGGCATTCTATGTTTTGCGTTGTTCAAAGTATCTTAAAATCCAATTGCCGTTAATTGTGCGCGTTCCCGTCTGCAGATGAAAAATCTATTCGTTTAATGATTACCAGACAAACCGCACTGAATATCAATGACGCCTCGTGGTATGAGCGACGCAGACGTTCTGTCAAGCTATTATAGAGAAACCCATTTTTGGTTTTGCTGATTGTCAGACTTGAAATGAGTGCATTTGAAAGCTCTGGGCAGACTCCTGGTGCATCGGTCAAAAGCTTAATCTAATTTATTCATAAGTGTGCGCTGATTTTCCCTTGTGTTGCAGATCGAGAAGGGAAAAGTCCACGGCTGTATTGATGTGGGCCTGTCGGTTATGGCTATTAAGAAGAAAGCCAAGTGCATCGATCTGGACGCGGAGGAAAACATCTATCACCTTAAGGTAAACCACAAGGATACTACAACAGACGCACGGTCGGCAAGAAGAACAATTATCAATCTATTTAACAGTCTTGGTTTCAATGATGTCACTTTTTGGCATTTTAAACTGTTTTATGAAGCATTTCGGGATGTTCTTGCTCGCTTGCTTTTCTGAATTTTCACTTCTACGATCAAATCCATTCAGAATAAGTGTATTTTTGTATAGGCCAACATAAAATCAGCAGATGGAGGGCACAGGGAATTCCAAAATCATTGGTCCATTGGAAAACAGGTTAACCATCCATCCATCCATCCATCAATTTTCTTCCCCTTAATCCATTTCTGGGTTGGGGGGTGGCAGTCAGAGCTGCACCCAGTACACAGAGGGTACCCTCACTGATCCTCCTGCAGGTAGTGAGTCCACAGGAGCTGAGATCTTTCAGTTGGGGCTTTGGCTAAAGTAGGGTTAAGTGTCTTGCCCAAGGACACAACGACAGCAGTCATCAGTGGGAGTCGTGAAGTAGGTCTTACGGTGGGCTCGAACCCACGACCTTCAGGCCCAAAGGCCAATGCTCTACCAACTGAGCCACTGTCGCCGCAGGTTAACCAAAGGCCTTAAATTCATAACTATTCTGGATCCTCTCTTGTCATTTGTGCCTCCTGCATCCTCCTGCAGATCCTTCTCCAATAACTCAAAAACCCAGGGAGAAAAATGAAGACACTTGGAGATCCTCTGACGGACAGGCTATAGATCCACACTGCACAAAGATTTGCAAAAATGTATCTTAATTTGAGTAGATTTTTAGTTTAGTTTAAAAAGAGTGAAGTATTCTGCATAAATATAAGGTAAAGTGAGAACGTTTTCACTCAACTGGACAAGCAGTTTGGTCGTAAATCAAGTGCCATTTATGTACCTGTTTTTGGACTCTTTTTTTCTTGTCCCATTGGCAAAACTTGTTTTAAGATATCTATTTATTATTTAAATCAAGATTAAAGTTGAGTTACTGTTAGGGGTGTCTTGTTTTCATTATTTCCATTCCATTCATTCTTTAATAAGAACACAGAGAAACTGGTTTATGATTTAAAAGAAAAATAGAAAAAAGTGAACATCGGTGAACAGGCAACACAAAGTCCTGGCTTCGAATCCCAGTCAGAGCAGGGTTTTTCTGAGTGGATTTTGCAATTTATCCCTGTGTCTCTTCGGTCACTCTACTATGGCGACCACAGGTGGCTCCTGACAGTGGCCTTAGTGGCATGGATGGGTCAAATAAAGAGGACATTTGTTTGTGTATCTGTATTTGTACAGTATGTGTATGTATATATGTGTGTGTTTATGTATGTATGTATGTATATATTTATATGATAAATGTATATACAGTATATATATATCGGTGATGGGTGTTTTGGTAACCGGGGGTAGGCCCAGATAAGCTTTATTTTTCTTTCGTATTATTGATTTTGTGTCTTCTAGTTGCCCAAATAAACACTTGAATTGAAACATTTTATTGACAAAGTTCCCTTCGGGGATGAATAAAGTGTACATTTACTTTTATTTTATTACACCCATAATTGCATCTTGGCTGTGATCCGCAACCTTATTAACTCTCCCTCCAAACTGTGTCCTCCTCGTGTCCTCATGTTTGCCTCTGGGTGTTCCTCTGCAGATTAAGTCCCAGGAGCTGTTTGACGAATGGGTCTCCAAGCTGCGGCACCATCGAGTGTATCGACAGAACGAGATTGCCCTGTACCCAAATGAGAAGGCTTTTTTCTCCCCGCTCTTCCCCTCCCCCAGCTCCGCCACCGCCAGTGAGAGTGCCTCCATCAGGAAGGTGAGCGCCTGCTCCGCTCCGGCCAATCTCTCAACAGGAGAGGGCTCAGGCTTTTGATGAACGGCGCTGTGTCCTGGTGATGTTTTGTTATAATTGCGTCCATAAATCCTCTGTATTTGTTTAATAGCTGACAGTTTTTTCAACTCGCAACATTTTCTTTTCATTTTATATTAAGTAATGGTAGGAATAAAGTCAAAACAACGTCATTGGACGTTGAAAGACGCAGGAGGTGATTCTCAAACTGAAAGAGGACTGACCTATGTCTCTGGCTCAGCTTTAAAACTGCTTTTTCAGAAGCCAAACGAATAGTGAATTTGCGAAAAAAGATAAGTGCCATTAGAAAAAGACTTTGCCCTTTACCAAGTACTTTTTTGATAAGCCAGGTGTATTTGAGTGCTATACCAAGTATGTTTCACCCTTTGTTGAGAAAATCCTTCCAAATGTACTGCCAATAAGAAAACATGTGAATTATTGAAGCTCAAGAAATACAACTTTTTGACACATTTTTAAAACGGAGATATCTGTTTTTGCAAAAGTCTTCAAATAGTAATTTGTTGTATGTATTTGTAAAGGCATGTCTTTACCATATTATTTCTGCTGGTCTAAACTATATTTACCAGTTTAAGGGAGTAAAAATAGCTAATCAACTTTTAATATTGCTTTAAACCTGGTTTTAGTTTTTTTTGTTTACAAAAATGGTGGTTGCGGATATTCTCACAATAACTAAAGTTGATGGAAAATGTGTTGCTTTAGAACATGATTGTGATAAAGATAGATACTGTAGAAGAGGTGGAGTGACCGCTTGGTTCAGACCATTTTCTCTGCTCTAGTCCAAAGTAAAATGCTAAAGGCTTCATTAGCATTTTTCAAAAAGTTAGCATTCCTCCAGTGGATTTTCACGTGATCCGCTTGGTTTGGACCATGAATCCTATCCGGTCTGGTCTGGACCAGTGTAAAACCATGAACACTGTACTGCAGCAACATCTCAGGTAGAAAAAAATAAAAATAAATTGTAAAGCACAAAATAAGAGCTACTTAGGACTTGCAGCTTAAATGATATTAGCGTGGATTAGATGAATAAAAGCGAGGGGAGAAATAAAATTGATTTTACTAAGTACGTCTGCTTTAAAGGACTTTGAGCGTAATACAGTTTGGTCTATTGCTTTTAAGAAGGTTAACTAATTCAATATATTACTAATACTCAAGCTATAAACATGCTGGCTAATAAACGCTGTCAAACGCAAACTCAGTAATGCAATATTTCACATCTAAACTCACTCTACCCCAGACCAAAGCACATTCATCTCACCCCCTCCTTGTCACCTGAAAGCCGAGCAGCAGGAACACACACTGCAACACTCTTTTTCATAATGCTCTGACGTCACCGGAGCGTTCGCCACAGAGAAAGCCGTGGTGGAAGGATGTGGCTCTGACCTCCGCTTGTCTTTGCAGTGCTTGTCCCTCCGCAGACAGTCGTCGGTGCACTCTCCCGGAGCCTTCCCCCTCGGGTGCACCAGCCAGGCCAAAGTCGCCGCTTGGCTCCAGTCCTCTGACGACATGGACAAGTGTTCCAAAGGTGACACCAAATACACACAACAGCAGCAGCATCTGGGGCATTTCATCGCACCAGTAGAGTAAAGCTGCGCATTTCATCCATGCCAAGGCGGGGGACTGAAAATGAATTGAGTTTGAGTGAGTTTATATTAAAATGAGTGATTGCATGAAGTGCCAGTGCAGAAAATATTAGGTTAAAAAGTTCACCTTGAATGGACTGCATAATCTTGAATTGTGACTTGAATACATACGTAGAGGCTGTTGTAGATCTAGTCTCATAATGGAACGATAATGGTTTACAGCATACTGTGATTTAGTCATGTTACAGATAGATAGATGGATAATTATTTTATTATAGTGTCTTGCATACAAGGATGCCCAGCACACATGGTCTTATAAGATTATTATTATACCATTAACACAATTACAGAGACACAGGCCAACATCAGGCATAAACATTTCCAAACACAAATGTTCTCACTTAAACAGACTTCCACGCTTTACACAAAAAGCAATTTAAACACTTGACTCTTAAATAACCATTTCATTTCACTGCACCAGAACAGATCAGGAGTGAACATTTCATCAAACAACGTGTTTCAAAATTTTTCGTAAAAAGGACGGGATGACAAAAAATGCACTTCACTTTCCATTTCATTCAGTTCACAAAATACACAGTCTCTTCTCCTCAGCAATCAAAAACGCCACTATAACAACAATGTGCAGATGGATTTGGCTGAACTACATGTGGACTGGTTTGTTTAAGACCAATCAATCAACATTCTTTTGTAGAGCGCTTTTTTTACACAGAGTAACACAAAGTGCTTCACAGCCCATATCACATAAGACATAAATCATCACATAAATTAAAACAGTAAAATCACACAGGTATTTAAAAACATTAAAACATTAAGGGATTAAAACAACAGTGTAATAAAGAGGAATAAAAAGAGAAAAAAAGAAAAAAGTCTGTAAAAAGATTCAAAAATCTAACAGACATATCGCTTTCACTCAAATGTTATATCTACTGATTAGTTTACCTGTGAAATAACAATGAAAACATAAACGGAATTTAAAGAACAACTAAAAACTATAATAACTTTAAGTTGCCTTGTTTATGAATTGTGCAATACAAATCAAATTCCCTTGCCTTAAGAGACAGACAATGAGCCTTGGCTATAAATGTGTATTGTGTCACATGCTTATTGTACACTCTTGTCCATATTAATAAATAAATCATGAACTTCCCTATTACATATTGTAATAGTTTTCCTTGTTTAATCTGAACCTAAGTAAACAACAAATGAAATCACAAAATGCAATTCTTTTTCCCATTAAAGACCAAAATAACTGCAAGCAATCAAGCTAAGAATTAATTTTCCTCTTGCGGCTGTTGACTGGAACAGGAAATGAATGTGACTGTACTCAAACTCTCTCTGCAGATATCGGTGTGTGTAAAGCCCACCTGCTGGAGCTCACCCACCTGCTGGAGAGCATGGAGGTCCTTCACCGCACCTACTCTGCCCCATCCATACAGGCTCTGCAGGTCGCACAGCAGAAGAAAAAGCTAAATGTATCCCTTTGCATGATGTAATATTGTTGTTTCCTTATTTAGGCGTGTACATTTGAAAGCCCCAAAAAAGAAAAGAGACTACAAAGAAAATGGCGGCCGAAAACCTTCAGCAAAGACGCCAAAGCAACTTTACAGGTACAAAAAATGTCTGCAATATAATTGGATATTAGAAAGTGCATGCGATGGGTGGATTGCTTCAAATTGTCAAATACAAACTTATTTAAATGGCACAATTACCGCTTCACGCAGCCCAAAGAATCCTCGTAGTGACTCGGCTCCAGTCAAAACACATGTATTTAAACTAGACCTGTGAGAGCGGGTCTCCTGAAGAAAGGCGCTCGTCACTCGCTGCTCTTACGATGTGTACGAGCAGTATTATTGTTTGCTGCTAAAAAAAACTTAAAAACTGCGAATCAACATTTCTACCGCAGCCTCCATGGTTCGAATCGGGACGAGATATGAAAAGGCGCAAGATATTGACAAAAAACGACGCAGAAAGTAGAAAAGGCGGCAACAGCGATCACTGACATGCAGATTGGCACGGGATTAGTATTATCACATTATCACAGGACGTCTGTGTTTGGACAAATACAGGAGGTAGTTTGCGGCTGAATTATTACTTTACAAATTACAGACATGGCACATTCACTCGGGACTAAGATCTCAGCCGCGATTATCACAAATTAGCAGAGGTTCCACAGGTAATACTAATCCTGTGCGAATAAGGCTCTGACATAAAAAACTAAAGTCAAAAGTCAGCTCTGTTCATGCCAAAGAAAAAAGTGTTTTTATCTAAAGTGTTCTAGTGACTCAGCCGATGTGACATACCAGGGCAGGCTGCTCCAGAGTCGGCTGCACAGAGAAGGCTCAGTCCCCTCTGGTTTTTTGGTTAGACCTGGGCACTTCCAAAAGCAGATGGGAGGAGCGTCACATTGTTTTAACCAGAACATGGTGGGATAACAATTCAGACCAAACCATTAAGAGATTTAAAAACCATAAGCATGTTAAAATGTTCAATTGTAATGAACAATGTATCAATTCTGATAGAGGTTATGAGGAGTATTGATTTTGATACTGTATGTGCATGTTTCAGAGGCAAAAGGCAGAGCACAGGGCATTAGACCATGACTGAAGACCGATCTGAGCAGACTAGTTTATTTTATTACATTGTTTTATTGAAATTTCAAAAGTACAATATTCATCCTAATAAGTCATGGCTGCCATACCAGTAAATTGTTTTGTTTGTATTGATAGATAGATCCCCGTAGGAGAAAATCAGGTGTCTAGTAGCAGCAGACACACATCCATACAAACAAAACAGACAGATAGATAGATAGATAATATTGTAGTTTATCTGAAATTAAATGAAGGTGTCTCCATGTATGCTCTGAAGGAGGGAAAACATGCATAAGTTGAAACAGTGAGACCAGTGATTTTATTTCAAAGTTATACTAGAATTCAACCGTAATTCTTCATTACTTTTAGAGGAGAAAGCAGCACGTGTACACTGGCCCCCTGTAGTCACATAACACATTTTGAAACAGATCTGAGACTTGATGAAGACTGTTGCGTCTGCTTCTGAAGTGAACCAAGTCCAACATGTGTAAATGTGCCCTGTGGATGATCCATCACCAAGTAATCATTTGTAGGGGTGTGACGATATATAGATTTTTTCGATATATCGCGATACTTTCTCCAGCGATTCGATTATCGATATGCATTTGCCAAGTATCGATATCGATTTTGAAAATTGGCATATTGTATATTTCTGACCAATATATCGATAATCGTTATCGTGATAATATCGTTATCGTGATTATATCGTTATCGTGATAATATCGTTATCGTGATAATATCGTTATCGTGATAATATCGTTATCGTGATAATATTGTTATCGTAAGCTTTGTATCGTGTATCGTATCGTGAGATACCCTTAGGTTCCCACCCCTAATCAATTGTGCAGGATCACTGTCAAAGATGTTTTTCCAGGGTCAATGTTTCATTTGGTAAGAGTGAGAGTGGGGTTGGGTTTAGAGGTTATGGTTAGGGTTTAGGTTAGAGCGAGGGTTCACTATGGCTATGGTTTACTGTTAAGAATAGAGTTAGGGTTAGGGTTATGAGAAACACTGATCCAGGACTATATCTTGTGTGATCTGATGCCATTGTTTTTGGGTTTAAATGTATTCACTTGTCTTTGGTCAACACAGCAGCTGTTTCCTCTCTTTCAGGTCCCGAGCTGCATCTCCTCCGGCTCCATCCGTCTTCATGCTTCCAACCCAAACCTCTCCACTGCTGCTCTGAACAGCGACAAGAGTGATCCAGAGTGTCTGGACTGTCCCGTGGATGTGGCCAAGCTCCAAGAGGACTTCTGTCGCGTAGCTACCAACTGTGAGCTAACAAACGTCTATTTTTAGACCCCTATAATTTAACTGATGAAATGACATGTGGCTACCCACTCACTTTCACACATTTCTATGTATGGTTTTAGATGACAGACAAACACTATATCATCCTTTGTCAAAAATAACATGCAGTAATAGCAGTGCACTGAGCATTCTTCCAGGCGGAGTGCATTAGGCTTATTAACTCCACACAGACAAGCACCTGGTGTGCTGCACAGAGGTGTGATGGGCAAATACATTACACCAGTTACTAATGATATATTACTGCAGTTACCTAGAGCTAATGACACATTACATAAAAACAACTGAATACAGTCATCCTGTTACAGTGTAAGTTCATGGTGTCATGGTGTCATCAGATTTTGAATTTTAAAAGAGCTTGAATTAATCCATTTCAAAATGACAAATTTGCCTTTCAAATATTCAATATGTAAATTTTTGAGCCCTCAAATTCAATGCACTGCAAAATTCTGTGAAAAAATAGAAGACTGATTATTTCTTCCATCAGATATTGAATTTAAGGATAAGATAAGATAAGAGGGCAACGTTAGCTCAGTTGGTAAAGCATCGGCCTTTGGGCCGAATCCACCACGAGACCTACTTTGCCTGAAGCCCCCACTGAAAGATCAAGACTCCTGTGGACTCACCACCTGCAGGAGGATCAGTGAGGGGCTGGTGCTATGTGTACTGGGTGCTGCTCTGTCTGCCTAAATTAAATCTAATCTAAATTTGTCCAGAAAAAATAAGATGGTGAAAAATTTGCATGACATGTCCAGTGCTCAGTCAAGTTGTCTGCGCATGCGCCATTTTACTGAGGTAACAGCTGCTAGCTTACAGCTGGTCTATTGGGTTGATAACATGAATCTAACAGGTTGATATGGGGTTTCTAATGAATGGATTGTAATGTATCCATGGCGAATAACAAGAGCATACATACTACATTCATTTGATGAGTTAGTTTTTTGAACATTTTGGGGGATTATGGTAAAGTAACGTCTTCAGCTTTTCTTCAAAAAGTGCTTGTTGCAAATCATTATTGCTGTATATCCCCTTTTATTTATTTGCATGTTTGTTTATGTACAGGTAAACCATCCCATGTTGAACATTTATAGCAACAAAGGGCAGTATTATTGTTGTTAGCGTTACACAGTATTTCAGTTTATCAGGTGCAGTTTTAGTTTCCTGTGTACTCTTGCCGGTTCCACTGTTGCCGATGGCAACTCGTGTTACTTCAAAAAGAGGAAAACCTTCTACGGCCCTAAAGAAATTCACACAAAAACGTTTATTCCACAGCTTGAACTCTTGTACACGAAATTATATTTACTGAGTATCTCCTCCATACCTGCGTAAACAAAGCGAAACCTCTCTCTCTCTTAAGCTACCTAATTCTAAAGAGTTGGGGTGGTGGCAATCAGCTGCCACCCAATTTACAGAGTACCAGCCGCACACAGATCCTCCTGCTCCTCCTGGTCCTCACAGATCCTCATTGATCCTCCTGTAGGTGGAGGGTCCACAGAAGGCTGCTCTGTCGCTGAGAGCACAGCCTTGATCTTTCAGCAGGGGCTTACGTCAAATATTAATTAAACAAATCAAGTTATACTAATTTATAACAATGAAACTAACAAACTGGTACTCTTATATACAGTACACTATGTGCTACATGCAAAAAGGCAAACTAGCTAAACTTAGCTTGGCTCCCTCACCACTATGTTTTCATTTGCAGTTAAGATGTATCTAGTCCACTTCGAGGCAAAGTATAACTTTAACTTTAATCCGTTGTTTCCTCGAATTTCACAAGTTTCGTTTATGTTTAACGTATAATGTGACTTTTTTTCTCAAATCAAAGTGAAATAGTCGAGTGAAAATAATTCCGAGTCATCATTATGCAGAATCATTAATTGTAATGTCGTCTTTTGTCTTTTATATCAAGATGGTAAAGTTTAATCTACACAGGGGTATTCAGAGCTTTAACACACACACATGTATTTGCTTTATTTCACATGACTATTACTATTAAGTCAATTTTAGTTATTTGAAAATATTTTTTACTGCAGTCCAAGTGTGAACAGATGCAACAGATGCATTTTCAAGGATTGTATTATTATTATGACTCTGATTATTCACGCATGTTAATCTCTGCTGCAGTACACTCCACTATGAAAAGTGCTCTAACGACGCTGACGTCAGAACGAGAGCGATTGAGACAAAGTGTGGAGCTGGAGCCGTGTCCTCCTACGTCTCCTCAGGTGGTGGGCCTGAAGAACGCACTATCCACAGTGAGTTACACCAAAGTCACACAACTCTGAGACACAAAAGACAAACGTGGATGGCGAGGAAACATACTGTAGCCGCTGTATGCACAACAATCACGGGCCTCTCTGGTTCTGGAGGTGGACAACTCATGCATGATTCCAGTGAAATAAAACAAGTGAAATCCAGTTTGGGGCAGTCTGAATTAGAGTGTGTACATGAAATGCCGTATTGTGGAAGATTACAGTCAAAGGAATTACATTTCCATGGAAACAAGCAGGAGCCGCAAGAACGGATCGGGATAGTGCAGAGGCCGCTCACATGATTTGATACTTTTTATGATGTGACTCTTGATACAGTGAATAGTAGTATAAGCTGGTAAATGCAACTACAGGGACAGGCAGAGCAGGAGCAGCAGCGTACTCTTAACCCTACACGGCTTTGTTCTCCTCTGCTCTACTCTCATCTCTTGATAAAGCTCTTCCAGTAATGACAGACTGACAGGCTACGCTACCCTGTCCCCGCTGTGAACGGTAAAAAATCTCTGTAAAAACGAACTCACAGACATAACTGAGAAACAGAAAATGCAGCAACAACCAAGAATGGTGTTTGGAAAGACAAATCCTCTGCTTACAAAAAGAGGAAGCTCAGTCAAAACTACTGAAGACTGAAGCAGAAAGCACAATGCTGCTTCAGAAGAATTCTCAATTTGAAGTATCTTTGGGAAACCTCAAACGAGAGCTGGCAGAGCTTTCGAAGAGATGTGGCGAACTGGATGGGCAACTGCAAGAAGAGGCTCAAGACAAGATTCTGATGCGTCAGGAAATCCAGTATAAAGACATGGAGATGGACCTGATGAGAGACCTGATCAACAAGTCCAGGGACCGGAAGATTGCGCTGAATCTGCATTTGCAAGACGTTCAGGGGCGACTCCAAGCGAAAGAAGACATCAACCAATTCCTGAACGAGTCACTGAAAGACCTGAAGCAGGAGTTGGGGCGAGAGAAAGAAGACAAGGCCGCTGTTTTGAGACAATGCGAGGATCTCAAAGAGGGACAAAGCACATTATAGCAAGAGTGTTCTCTGCTGGAGGTAAAGGTCAGTGCTTTGTCCCACAAGCTAATGGAGACAGAAGAGGACAGCTCTCTGTTGGAGGATATGTACAGTGCTTTAACCCAGAAACTAATGGAGACAGAAGAAGAACGCTCTTTGCTCGAGGAGAAGTGGTTGACCACGGAGCTTAAGTTGGAGAAGAAGCGTCAGTAAGTGGTACAGAAAACTCATGTGCTGCTAATTCTTCTAAACCAACATTGGAGGAACGTATGAACATACGTCTAAGCATTAATAAAAAAAAATATTATTATAAAATATATCTATTTTCCCATGTACTTTTCTTGGAACCTAGAACCATTTAGTTGAGTTTTGTATGTCTTTATTTACAGACAAATATAGACTTTCTTCCTGGCTGGTCATGGGCTGCAGGTGGTGAGGTACACCATAGCAAGAGACATGATGAAATGTATCTAGTTGAATTTAGGTTGAAATGTTGACTGGTGTAAAAAGTACTAAAAAGGGGGTTCTGTCACACCAAGGAGAGTCATTGCTTGTATAAATATGAAACCCATCACAATCACTAGAATTTAATATTTTGTTGAAGGAAAGTCTTCAAGTGACAGTGGCTCAGTTGGAGGAGCATTTGCCTTTGAGCCTGAAAGTCGTGGGTTCAAGCCCACCTCAAGACTTTCTCCACCGACTCCCACTGATCCTTGGCAAGACACTTAACCTCTGGGAACACCAGATCCCACAGTGGGGGGGCTGCGGCTGTAATGCATTAAAATATCTATGCCTATACTTGTATGTGAAAGTCAGGTCCCGTCAAACCTCTGAAGCTAAGCAGCGCAGGGCCTGGCTAGTATTGTGTGTAGCGGTACATGTTTTAGCATCCCTACAATTGATTTTAAGATTTTACTGATCACTTGACAAAAGTTGCAAAATGTGTGGGAATGATGAAAAGATCAAGTCTTTTACTGAACACCAATGCTCTTCTCTTTTTGTATTGTTCCTTTATAATGTCATGTTATTGTGCTGAAATCTGGGGAAATGTTATAAATCCCATTGACTAATGTACACTCAAGACACCATTCTAATGCACTTTTCTTAGAACTTAAAGCACTGAAGCAGCAGGATTTGATCACCTTTAAAACTGCTCAACTCATGTTCAGGGCATCTGGAAACTCTCTTCCACCTAATTTACAAAACTAATTCCTCGATAGAAATGTTCTTCATAATTATAGTTTAAGAGGAAGCAAACACATATATGTGCCGAAATGTAGAACCAATCTCAAATTTATGTTCTTCAGTTCAAAACTATGTAAACAAAAAAATACTGGAGAAGTACCTGAAAGAAAGAGTGTGATGCCCTCAGCAAGAGCGAGAGAAGGCAAGGTGAATGGACAGTGTTTCGGGCCTGGGTGTGTGTGTGTGTTTGGGTGTGTGTTTTGGGTGTTTGTATGTGTGTGTGTGTGTTTGTATTGTGTGAACGAGGGGGGTTGGAGCCCAATAAGCATTTTGTTCGTCCAACCCCTTTTCAAACTGTATTTTTCAAATCTTGTTTGCACTAAGCGGTTTTCTGACCAGATCATGCGTTGCAGCAAGTTTCAATGCAAAGTCATGGTGACATCCGTCCATGTGAGGAATCGCATGGACGTCACGGCATGCACATTTATCCCACACAGCAGACGCCTTGTGGAAGAGGCAGTGGATACAGCAGCTGGATGCATGCAGCGAAAGCAGGAGATGAACATCCTCGCTCCAGACGCTTGCGGGGACCAATCAGAGAGGAGCAAAGTGGTCACGGGACATATGCCTGTCCAAATCACGAAAAGAAGTCACTTGAAAACAACCAAAACACGAGCTAAACCAGGATTAAACTGGGCTGAGGATGGGGGACGCAGTACTTGTGAACATATGTCTTCACCCTGAGTTAACTTTCTACTGTGACTGTAAACAAATGCTGCTAAAGTGTCCGCTGATACAGAAGTTCCCACCACTTCTGCGCTGCGATTTTCCCCAGCGCAGGGCAGGTCGTCAGATTGACTAAACTCATGCAGATGATACTTAGTGAACGTACGTCCATGCCTCAATTTATGCACGTCCATGCGTCGGTGGTCTGAACACAGCTTGATTCTGCTGTATGAGAAATATAAGTTTGAAATAAATACTTACCTCACATACCTAACCATACCATTCTAGCCACAAACAAGCATACAGAATGTTTATGTACAGGGGAAGTGCTGTGCGTAATATGCCCCCTGTATCATTGTGCGAACCTCCCATGGAACAGCTAACCCTAACCCCCCCATCTTCCCCAACAACACAATTCTGGCACCACCGCTGTGTGTACGTCTGCAGTGATTGGACTTGTTGCGATGGAGCAGACTCTTCCTCCTTTAATTGTGTCTGTGTGTAGACTTCCTGCTGATTATGAAGTTCAATCTGCCCCACGCTGGGGGGGAAATGACAATAGTGACATTAATCTTTGGAGGACGCTGATTTGAACAGAGTCGTATTATGGATTTTAAAACGGCAGACTTGTAGAAGAATACTTTGTTGGAGCATGCTGAGCTGTGTTTGTGATGGTCTGTTGCAGGCTCTGGCCCAGAACAGCGAGCTGCGGGAGCGTCTGTCCAAGATCCACGCTGAGTCACACATTATGGAGCCCACTATTATCAATATTACTGCCCCTGTGCAGGTGGGTCTATCTCAAGCACCTTACGCCATAACTGTACACTTTATCTGCCTCTTCCTCATATTTATTGCTGACTTTAAACTTTATTTATGTATTTGAAGAGGTCTTTTTCCAAAACATCATATCATAGTAGATCCATATCATACATCGGATTCATATTTTAAGTTGTACTACAGAAATGAATTAACTTTTCAATTATATTCTAATTTTCCAAGTTTCACTTGTACTTCTAGATTAGTAGTATATCGCATAGAGTATTAAAAAACTGAGTCCCCATTCACCAGTTGAGAACCTCTGCTTTAGTGCAGGAAATATATAACAATAGAAATACCCAATAAAGTAAAGTATACAAGTTACATATAAAGTGTGTGATAAAACTTTAATTATGAATTTGTCATGCTTGGTGCTGCTTCAGCTCCCACTTCAGCTCATAGTTTTACAATCAGGATGTAATATTGTCGACCTAAATGAGGGCCTGGTACAATATTTGTCCAAATGTGTAGCAAAATCTTAAACATTTGAATAATGGAGTAAAGGGAGCAGTGTTCTTGTAATCATGTGTGCTTTGTGTTAGTGCCCTACAGCCTTGTTCTGATGCTTCTCTGTCTCCTAGAAACAGGAGTCTGCAGACGACTCCCATCCTCTCGTGCACCAGGTTTCAAACGAGAGCCGCGCCTCCATCGCTGAGTCTTTGTCTGAGTTCTTCGACGCCCACGAGGTCTTGCTGTCGGCGAGTTCCTCAGAAAACGAGGTGGGCACAAAAACACCCAGAGCGAGTTGAGCAAAGCTGATGAGAAGCTGCTCCCTGATTTTCTGTATTTCACCTACAACCAGAAAGAGCAAGAAGTGAAAACGAGGAGAATATTATTATTTTGCACAATTCCTGTCTTTTGCACACCCACTGGGATAATATTTATGCCACATGAAACACGTAACTTTCTCCACTGTGATAAAAAAAATTATGTTTTATCTTATCTAGCTGCTGAATTTAAAGACATGCAACAGCTCACCACAAAAAACAAAGAAAGAAATCCTTATTTGTCCAAACTGATTATTACATGTTAAATATATTTGATAGCAACGAAATGGAAGTTTTAGTTCATAAATACATTTTAGAACAAATATACAATCCCTCTATCTTTTAGGGATGGCAAGTAACTATAATTGTATTATTTTTATTATTTATATTATTATTATTATCTAAAGCTTTTTAACCTAACATTTTCCTGTTTGATTAATGCACGTACATTAGTCCATTTTGTCCCAACAGAAAGAGTCAAAGAAATGTTAACAATTGCTATTTTATCTTGAGAAAAAATATGTCATCTTTTGCATACTTGTACAGAAGAGAAACATATAAAAATACAAAAATACAAACTTATAAAAACTAGTGATAGATCCAAGCAGTTTTGAGACCGAGGAACTATTTTCTGGATTTTACTTCATACAATTATTACATATTTTTTGGTTTGTAAGTTAGGTACCCCAACTTGAAGTAATAAATGAGTTCAAATACTTTTAACCTAAAAAAGGGGCAAAAGTACTAGTCATATGGTCCTTTAAAAGTTTTAAGTACCATATGACTAGTACTTTTGCCATCTATGTCGTAACATTACCTCACAAGAAAATAAATTATCTTTTATCTCACAGTTTCAAGAGCAAGATAAAGGCTTTTCTGAAATATCTTAAGTCCTTTCTGCTCTACCACACATGAGCAACGTAACCCAACGAAGAAAATCAGAGCAAGATAATCAGTCAAACCTGAAATATTCCCTATATTTTTTTGTTAAATGAGTGGTCCAACCTGACATATGGGCTTTAAATGAGTCTTTTCAGTATAGAGCGTTATATTTAGGTTTGCAAGCTTTGTCATTCTGATACACGTCACATGGCAAATGGACATTTCATTATTCCGTTCTAAAAATACTGCAAAGTGAAAGTGAAGATTGGCCGCGGACTCCAAGGGGACCTTTCGGATGACAGGACAGGAAGTCTACAAAAACTGTCGTACGATTCTCATGTGTTTTAGGTGTCGGAGGACGACTCTTACATCAGCGACATCAGCGACAATATTTCCATGGACAATTTCAGTAACGAAACCGAATGTGAAAGACCGTGTTCAGGTCAGTGCACACAACAAAACAGTCTGAACAAGGCAGATCCATAGAAATACGTGTTGGTTTTTTAAAATTATTTTAGTTTTAATCAATAATGCTGTGTATTTCATAACCTGTACAACACAATTTTACAGAACAAAATAACAGAGTAACAGACACAGATTTGAAATTAATAATAATATATTTTATTTCTTAGGCGTGGGGGTCTAGGCCTTTCGAGACACGCAAGGTCATCTTACATAACAATTAAAAAGCGTATTTAAAAATAAGTTAAAATACAAAGTTAAAAACGTCATGAACAGAGGATGGAATAGTTATGTTCCGCTCATAAACAGAGCTTCTCTAAACAGATGAGTTTTGACGGTGGATTTGAAGTGTGTGAAAAGGGGTGATAAACTTCTGACTACCATTCGCTCATTCGAAACAAGACTGTAGGGAACAGAAACCTCAAAATTAAAAATGCAATATTATTGTGTGACTATATTTGAGAAGGGAAGTAAATTAATCTGACAGTGTAATGAGGAAGTCTTCTTTAATCCAAACAGCATGTGATATTTACATTCTAGTTCATCTACAACGTTTAGTGTTTGTTTTATTGATTTATTTGAACAGTAGTCTCAGGGCAAGATGTAAAGATTAATTACAAGTCATACGTTTGTCAACTAAAAACAAAGTAAAAGTTTGAACATTGAGTATCAACAGTACACAAGACAAGGTGACAACATACATTTAACAACAGTTTGTTCTTGTTTCACGGCAGACCCACAATTCCACATCCTTTCCTTATGCTCAAATCAAGCTCATTTTTGTAATTCAAACAATTTGCAGCCAGAAGTTATGTTAATGTAGTAGATTATGTGAGCACTGTCTGTTCTACATGTTTTAAAATGTTGTGACACATAGCTTGTTTGTCATTTGTCTGTCTGGGTCAGTTTTTTTTTTGACATTATCATCTAAAATAACGGATATAGACCAAATAGAACGGTTATGAAACATGTCTTTTTGTTTCATTCTGTACTGAAAGACATGAATTGTATTTTGCATGATGCCATTATTGTAATTGAATAGAGCAATGATTAAAACCACAACAATAAATTAGGCTTTTATGTGCAGTCCAAGGTTAGCATACACTTTACTGTCCTCTGGATCTGTCCTTTCCCTTCTGAACAGCTCTGGGGGCCACCTACTGCATGTGTGCTCGGCTATTTTATTAAAAGCATGTTTTGTTTGTGGACAGAGCAGAGGACAATGGGGACTAGTATATCTCAGTAATTGCACTGGTAGAAAGCAATCTGCTGCTGGTGCTCGGATTTCCTTGCAGTACTTTTAAATGTAATCAGAAAATAAAAAATAAAATTGTCTATGAAAGTAATTCTCCGAAAAATAGTAATTTGAAGACCAGGTGTAATCCCTAACTTAGACAAAAGTGTTTTCAGTTAAGGGTAACTTTACACCTACAACTGTCAAAACCGTTTACATAGATGGATGGATGGATAAGATAAAACTTTATTGATCTCACGATGGAGAAATGTACACGTCACATTTGACAGAAATCAGGGTGTGCAAAAAAGACAGGAAATGTGCAAACGTGTGAAAATGTGAAAAGATGGTATATTTTTTGCAATAAAGGTATTTTTATGAACAATGAAATTTTACAGTCACTATAGCAGTGCGAGTGTACAGTCCTAGTGCAGAGACATTATTGATCCCTGTAGGAGAAATTCAGGGCCCAGTGAAAAAAAACACATCTATCCATCCCAAAAAATACATACTTTTAAAAGTGACTAACAATAGTAGTAATGAGAGACATCAGAATCAGAATCAGAATCAGAATCAGAATCATTTTTATTGCCACGTGAGTAACAAAGTTATCACTTGGAAATTGTTTTGGCAGAGAGCGTGCCACTTCGCCATTTGCGGCGCTGTGTGCAGCAAGAAACAGCAGAGAGCAATAACATACAGTTCACAGACAATTGGATAGACACATTGTGCTTTTTATAAAACCACGGATTTTTTTCTCGGGAAGAGCACCTCTTCGGCCGGCCCAATGTAGCTGTCAGAGGGGGGCGGGATCAGGGAGGGGGTGAGTAGGAAAACAATAAGGAATGGAGGGGAGGGAGGGAGCAAGATGGATAGGTAGAGGGAGGCGGGGGTGGGGGATCCTTGCTGAAGACTGAAATAGTGTGAGTTGTTGTAGATTGTGGGACCTTGTTTATGGCCTTGGCTGAGGAATGTGAGATAAGAGTGGAGAGAAGCCACAGGAGGAGAAAAACACATCGCCTGCAATGTCGCAGTCAAAAGCAGGCAGATATTCTATTAAATTCCAATAAACCGAATTCCGGTGCCCTCAGACCTCCGTACACAGGGGCAAATCCAAGCCGGGTCAGAGAGATCAAGCCTGACAAACAATGTCATTCAATCTCAATTCCAAGGTCTTATGTCCATCAAGTGAACGAGCTGCGAGGTCTTTGATCAACTGTTCCACCAAAACCACCCTTCTTTGTCCAGACACGGCACTCTCAACCACGACACGGCTAAGCTCCTTGTACATCCCATCAATTTTATCGGCCAGCAGGTCGTGAATCTTGCGAACTGCCATGCCTCCGAATTTGTGGTAGAAGAGGATCGCTCTAAACCCAAACAGGAGGATTCCCACCACCAAAATGCCAAAGATATATACGTCTTCCGAATCTTCAATGGACAGGGTCGACAGACAGAGGGGCTGCCACTTGTTCCAGCTGTCAAGCGTATAACCCGCTGGTGAAGTCCCGTCCGGACACACGGGCTCTCCAGACCCACGCTTACGTGTTGAAAAGATAGAATCAATTGCGTTGAGGGACCAATTAATCATTTCCAGACATATTATGAAAACCGACTTTTTCTCCCTTTTCACCATGTTACAACATTATTTCTCATCAAACCCAGTCTTGGGAGGGGTGAATAACTCCACCCCTTCTGTCTAAAAGCTCCTGTCTCAGTCCTGTAATGTATGATGTCATTTTATCACTATGACATCATGCTCAGAGCAGTTTTTTACCTTTTTTAATAAAAGTATTGCCACTAGTTGTGTTCATTTCTCAAGTGAAATGACCTTCCTTACATGGCTGTGTTTGCTAGAAGTAATTTTCAAATTTGGAAAAAAATAGAACTTCTCTCTGGCGATGGTGATTTTTTTCTTTTCTACCTAAAACATGAAATGAGAAAGTAAATAATATTATCTCATAGAAAATAGAAAGTTCTTAGAAACTGATTGATCAATATAAATGAAATAATACATGATATATAGATGAGTTGAAATTGAAAAAAAATCCAACATGATCTTGAATTGAGCAGACTTGATCAGACCGTGAAATAGTTGATCCGCTGTGATGTGAAACTCCCCCCCAAAAATTGGACTTAAAAAACTACTGAAAAATGTATGAATTTAATTGTAAATAGCTGTGTATCAAAAACTATATGTTGTGTTTTGTGAAGGACTCGAGCCTCTGTGATTGGCTAACACGTATAATGTATGTGATTGATTTCGCAGGAGGGAATGTGGTGTCCCAGCGGAGGTCGTGTCTGCCCTGTCCCAGCCCCAACAGCAGCACCGTGAGCCTGTGGAACATCCTGAGGAACAACATCGGTAAAGACTTGTCCAAAGTGGCCATGCCGGTGCAGCTGAACGAGCCTCTCAACACCCTGCAGCGACTGTGTGAGGAGCTGGAGTACAGTGAGCTGCTGGAGACGGCGGCCAGCACCCAGGACCCCTTCCTACGCATGGTACGGAGCAGCAGCGGTGGACTGACACTAAAGGGCAGTTTTTATTGTCAAAAACATTTGCTTGTGTCGTCCAAGGTTTTCCAATCCACTTGAATTTTATAGTACATATTACAAACTAGAGCGTTCAAAAGTACAGCACTGTGTAGTCTAGTTTAGTTTAATATAGTATTTATAGAACAGGGACAAAGTATAAAACCATTAGTCTTTATATAATAAGCGATGCTTTGCACCAGATTTAGCTGCAGCTACTTTCCATCCGTCCCTGGGGCAGGAGAACAAACATAGATATGCACATCACAAATATAAAAACAAACTTACCAACAAAGCTATACAACCATAAATACATTCAATGTTTTCCTAAAAAGGCAGAGGCTATAATCAACAAATGCAATTTCTAATGCTATAAATGCTCATGGATGCTGACACGATTGACGATTTAAAATGTGCCTTTTCAAATTTGTTGTAAAAGGTTTCAGATCTACAGACAATTTCAGTGTATAAAGAAATACTTATAATAGATGCCAGATTCAAAACTAATTAGAACAAATTAGAGCAGAATCACCAGAAAAAGGTGCCTTGCCCTCTCCAGGTGGGTGGAGAGGTCCTTCCTCAAGTCTCGGGGTCTTGTTCATGAGTGAGGGAAGGATGGAGCGTGAGATTGACAGGCGGATCGGTGCAGCGTGCGCAGTGATGCGGTCGCTGTATCGGACCGTTGTGGTAAAGAGGGAGCTGAGCCGAAAGGCAAAGCTCTCGATTTACCGGTCAATCTTCGTTCCCTCCCTCACCTATGGTCATGAGCTGTGGGTAATGACCGAAAGAACGAGATCGCGGATACAAGCGGTCGAAATGAGCTTCCTCCGCAGAGTGGCTGGGCGCTCCCTTAGAGATAGGATGAGGAGCTCAGTCACACGGGAGGAGCTCGGAGTAGAGCCGCTGCTACTCCACGTCGAGAGGAACCAGTTGAGGTGGCTCGGGCATCTGTTCCGGATGCCTCCTGGACGCCTCCCTGGGGAGGTGTTTCGGGCACGTCCCACCGGGAGGAGGCCCCGGGGAAGACCTAGTACACGCTGGAGGGACAATGTCTCTCAGCTGGCCTGGGAACGCCTTGGGGTCCCCCCGGACGAGCTGGAGGAAGTGTGTGTGGATAGGGAAGTCTGGGCGAGCAGAATCATGTGAATCATAAAATAACAATGAAAATAATACACAAAAACTGAACATCAATAAATAACTCAGAGGGGCGCCACAACTCACGCTGTGTTAAAAGAATACAAGTGTAATTTCTCACAATTTTTATTTTATTCTTAATCCGTGGAGCTGCAAAGTCCCACTCCCAGTCCTTTTTCATTTTTGAGTCTGTCTGACTCTAGATATGTGGTATCGATTTAAACTTTGTGGTCTCATTGTTCTGGACTATAAGTTTGTAAGAAAACTATGATCAAAATATCTACTCATTATTCCCCACATTAGCCTCGAGCATTTTAAGAATGTTTTCCCCACAATCTATACTGTTTCTTTTTCTTATTGTTGCAATCCCTATGTATAGGGATTTTACTACAGGACAGGCACGTTGTAGTTCCATGGATGTTTTAAATGATCTATCATCTCAGTGGGTGGGCAGTGTGTGTAACTCTGTGGTTGATGTCGTGTTTTTGTCATGATTTGTTGCCAGTTCTGTTCACAAACTTGGCTTTGAGTCCATTTAACTGACTGCTATTACATGTTGGATTTTGGATATTGCCAGTACTTTCTGATGAGGACTGCTTTCTTTCTCTCCTGAAAAAAGCAATAAAACGACCTGCATGAAAGAAAACCAAAGCAATCTGAAAACGACTCCTTTTAGACATTCAAAAAAGAAGAGATGGAAGAAAAACAAAATGTTGCTGTACGCTGAACGCCAGAGAGAGGAGGCGGCTTGTGAGGGTCTGACTTTTTTCATTTCATACAGACAGCCAAGAAGAACAATGCAACATTCATTTGATTTTCTTGTAAATTAAAATGCTGTTTGAACAATGATCATTGCACATTTTACCGCAATTTTACTTACTCTCACACTAATCATTTTTCTGTAACATTCACCCCACTTCCTTTAGGTCTACATAGCCACGTTCGTCGTCTCGGGTTACGCGTCCAGCTACTACCGCACCGGAGGAAAGCCTTTTAACCCTGTCCTTGGAGAGACGTACGAATGCGATCGGCCCGACAAAGGCTTCCGCTTCCTGGCTGAACAAGTACAGTTACCTCCCCATATTTCATTATAAAATATTAACATATAATTCAGTTTATAACAGCGAGATATCCCACACAGGTCAGTCACCATCCTCCTATATCTGCCTGTCACGCTGAGTCTAAAAACTACAACTTCTGGCAAGGTAAAGAAGCTAACCAAGATATTTATGCTTTATACAGTATTATTTCAATGTGTATTTTTTAATTTAATCCTTCCGTAGATATAAGGTGCAAGAACAAGTTTTGGGGGAAGTCTATGGAGATAGTTCCCATTGGCACGACTCATGTCACTCTGCCAGGGTAAGTTTTTATTATGTGAGAAAATACTACAGTTGTGCTTGAAAGTTTTCACACCCAGCAGAAGATGCCATGGTTTTGGTCACATTTTGGAAATTGATGAATGAATGATAAAACAAACACTGTCTCCCCCCACACATTGATAGTATTTGTGTGAAGCCATTTTTGGTCAAATATTTTTCATATATTTTCTATCATTGTGTCGCTCTGTGGAGATCTTGAATGTGCATAATAATCAGAATCCAAACTTTTTGTAGTGCCATAGTGAGTAACAGGAAGTGACCAACTAGGACATTGCTTTGGCTCGTGGTGCAAAACAAGTTATAAAAGTCAAAATAAAATAAGGCAGGCCATAAAGGGCAGGGGGAAAAGTAAAGGGTGTTCATGAGTCCAACTTTCATTTCATGCAAAGCCACCCAGGAATTTACATGAACTGAAGAAGACAGTGTAACACAACCAATGCAGAGATAACAGCACTGCCTAAGGATGAGAAAGTCTGAACAAATGAACAAATATAGTCTTTCGCTCCCTTTTTTTATAACTTCTGTGCGCTTTAGGCAGCTGGTGTTGTTGTAAATGTGCTATATAAATACAGGTGACGTTGCCATTGACTACAAAGGGGGCAAAACAGGCTTCTGAGAATTGGGGGACTTCTAGTGAGGGTCATTTAAGTAGTTTCTGTAAAAAACAAATGGCACAACAACAAACAACGAGTGGAAAAGCATTGGGATATCAATCTGGCTCAATACAAATGTTCAATACAAGTGTGTAAACCTGCAAGTGTTTCTAGAATCTAGTGGAAACATGTGTGTGTGAAGGTTTGGAGATCACTATGAATGGAACAAGGTGACGTCCTGTGTGCACAACATACTGAGTGGTCAGCGCTGGATCGAGCACTACGGAGAGATCACCATCAGAAACACCAGCAGTGACCAGTGCCAGTGCAAGATCACGTTTGTCAAGGTACCCGCGGAATCCTGTGACCCAATAATCACAGAAAAAACCATTATGGTACATTCTAAGATTTTCAATTAAAGCTGCATAACTGTTTTACCTTAAATTATGTACGTTGCTTGACCCAACAGAGAGTAAAATGTGAACAAAAACATGCTGACTTCATCAAATTAGGAAACATGTTTTCCATTTGACTTGTAAATGGGGGGGCCAGTGGCAACCGGTGTAGGCAGTAATTGTGTTGACGATATCATTAACCGTTTCAAGACGTTATTTTGGTGGGTATCGAGCTGGTGGTGCTGACACCTTGAGCCTTTACAGCTTCTTTTCTGAGTCTGTTGTAGTTGTTTTAAGGCGGTAAAACCCCTGACCACACACTTTACCGAGACGTGAGTCAGGAGTCACCGACTGCTCAGGGTGACGATGACAGCAGCGATGGCCAGATGTATAAAAGCTGATGTACATAACTTTTGCTTGTTTGTTTGTCCCAACGGAAAGAGTCTTGTGAAATGCATTCATCTTTTTGTCATACCTTGAAAACCATATTTGTAAAAAAAAAAACAAAAAAAAAATGATCACTGTGATCTTAAGGCTGCAGCTGATTGGCTCACATGTTTAGCTTGTCTAGACAGATGTGACATGAATGTGAACACAAGTGATGGGTATGAGAGCGAGGAACTAGTCAGATGAATTGAATTAATTAATGTTTTTGTTTTGTCATGAAAATAGAGGTTGTCTGGGACATACTTTTTCCTTTGTTATTATGTTAATTATGTTCATTTGTCAAAGCCTCATCCGCACTAATGAAGGCAACCTCTGGCTCAAATTGGCACAAACACATCCATTCTGTCTATAATAATGCTTTGCTAATTATAAGGTCATAGACAAAGCCGCTTGCTGCAATTTAAAACAAAAGTTTGAGCAAAAGTTTTGTATGCAATAGTTTAGTGATAGCTTTCCAATTAAATATATTCTTATGTATGTCTTCAGCTACACTCCGCCTGTTTGGAGGTTTACAAAAACAGCAGGATGTGATTCTTTATATTTATCACTTTGAAAGTCGTCTACCAAAATAAGTAAATATTCTCAAGATCATGTTTAAAGAAGCTAATGAACACCCATCATTGTTTTTGTAGATGTATTTAAAATTAACATACAGTAGTTGCAGTCATTATACTTTGGCCCATGTCTCAACTTCAAGCTACACAAGACTGGTTTGGCCTGGTTAGTGCGAGGATGGGAGACTGCTGAGAAAAACAGGTGCAGTGTCTTTAGTGCACATGTGCCTTCGTGACTGTAATAAGTCTCTTGAGTGAAAGAGGGAGGTGGTGTTGGATGGATCATATCGACGGCTTTGGTTATTGTACACGCATTCATAACAAGTAGATTAGATTATTGTAACGCTCTCTTCTCCGGTCTTCCACTGAAACGTTCTTCCAACGCATGTGGACTAGAGACAGATGAACTTAGCGGACCTTGGACAGACCTCTGCTAAAGTCTTCCCCAAAGTTTGGATTCCACTTCATACAATGTCTTTCGCTATTTTAATAAATCACACAAAGACACTTATTTGCCTCGAATCCTTATATGTAAACAGGCCACACAAGCTCCAGTTAAGATCTCATGTTACACCTTTTCTAATGGATCTCCACTGGCCCAGTTCAGACCTGGATTGACTTTAAATCGTTTATAAAGCACCTTCTGGCACCTTTGTATAGTCCTGACTTATTTGTGCCTTTGAATCCTGTTTCTTAGATCCTCGGACCTCAGTCTCGTTGCCATTCCACCTACGAGACTAAAGGTGGGAGGAACGACTCTCCAATTGTGCTCCTTGTAAATGGAATGCTTTACCCAATTATATTACATGTGCACTGACCATATGCCCATCGAAGGGTAAACTAGACCCACTGGTTCAAACCTCTAGCCAGCGCCGCCCTCCTTTCACGTGGCTACTTTTGAATCACATTGAGTTGCAGCTTTCTGTAAGAAATGTGCCACAAAAAAGAAAAATGTTCTTCCTCTATCAGACCGTGGAGTGAATAATTTGCAAAATCTGGAAAAGTGCTGTTAGGAATAGTCATCGCTTTTCCCATTGATGCTGTGAGTTTGCCTTCATTGTTATCATTCTTATTATGTATTAATTTCATTTAAATAAGTACAAGATACAGCAACAGTTATTCACAGAAAAAACGGAATCATAAAATAATCATAATTATAAAAAATACTTGTACATGTATTGAAAAGGGATTGGATGAAGCAAAAACCTTATAAAACTCCAATCCCCTCCTCTCTCCTTGTTGCTGAAATTAACGTGTGGAAGCAAAATTACCGATAATGTTGTCTTCTCTCACATTTACCATAACCCATCATCAATGTCCACGATTCTTTAAAGTCCAAAGACGCAGAGGTTGCCCACACAAACTGCTCATGTTGGATGTGTCGGCTGTGATTGAAGCTTTCTCTACAAAAGGTTAATTGCTTTGTCTTTGTCTGTTTGATATGCCTCCTGAAGCTGGACGGTCAGGCAAGACACGTCCAATGTTGTTGTGCCCTCCCCCCTCCATCCCCACCACGGCTAATTATAGGACGACAGAGGAGTTCTTTCTCTGCGTTTGGATGTATCGACTTGTGCTGAGAATGCATCATTTTTATTCATGGAAAACCTGGGAAATCTGTGGAAAATGAAAATTGAATGTTTCCTGAGAATAGGATTGCGTCTGTGCTCTAGCTTCTCCCGAGATATAGACTCCTGATTGTGAATATTATTATTATTGTTGTGTGAAAGCAGATTGAGAAATTATTGGACTGTGGTCTGTGTGGGACTAAGGGGAATGTGAATATATGTTTTTTTTTTGCTGTATCTGGATTTGTGTATAGAATTGTGTGACCCTTACCCTCTTGGGACGACAGATGAACAGCAGCTCTTACCTTAAATGTCCAAATCAAACAATGAAAATATAATTAGAGGTTTCCATCCACACAACATTCCATCCATCCAACAGACCCACCCCAAACAACGCAAAGACAACAGTCCCAGTCATACAGTTGTCAACAAACACACACACACACACGCACACACGTGCACACTCACGCACAAATATCCCCTGAATCAATAAAGTATCTCCATCTACAAACCTGTTTCACGCACACAAACACACACGCACGCACACTTATTTATTACACACACCTACACATTCTTTTTACACACACACATACGCATGCACACATACTCATTACACACACCTACATATTCTTTTTACACACACACATTCGCATGCACACATACTCATTACACACACCTACATATTCTTTTTACACACACACATGCACACATACTCATTACAGGTGTACACATACTCACACGCACACAAGCACTCACACACATGCACACATACTTACGCACACAAACACTCACACACACACGCTCAAAAACACTAAAACGGATAAAACCTTCAGAATGCAGGTGAAAGCAGCTGGAATCCCTCAGGGTCAATGAATGGGAACATTTACAAACTCGTGCTTGTTTTTACTCATGGAAACTTTTGTGAAAACAGTCACAAATCCTGATAATGATAAAAATGTTAACGAAAAAAAATGCGTAACATGTCTTCTTTAACATCTGTCCAAACCGTCATCCATGCACAAATCAATGGACATCATTATTTGTATTTTCAGGCAAAATACTGGAACTCAAGTGTGAACGAAGTTGAGGGAGCCGTAACGGATCAAAAGGGGAAAGTGGTCCACAGCCTTTTTGGGAAGTGGCACGAGGCGGTGTACTGCGGAGACCCCCCCTCTGCCACCTGCGTCTGGAGAGCAAGTACGGAACTATTTACACTTTTCACTACTTTCCAAAGCTATAGACACACAGATGCTTCAGTGTTCAGGACTCCAGGACACAGTGAACCTTGGACACAGATTATAGTCCGAGGAGGCGTGGCCCAACTCACATCGTTCCTGCGTAGGTTTGCTCCGGGTGCTACGGTTTCCCCCTACCACTAAAAACATATACATATATAGTACTGGCATGAACCTTTTGTAGGCAACCCAGCTTCCATCTCTGTGTGGAGTGAGAGACAAATGGCCACAATTGTAAAGCGCTTTGTGACTCTGGTCTGTGAAAGGCCCTATTGAATAAAGATTACTTACTTACTTCTTCATACAGCCGCATGTGAAACTATAGCGCCGATGACAAACCCACACTGAATCTAGAATATGTACAGTATTTGCAGGAACATCAGAAATGACAGAATACAACCGTATTCACAGCAGATATTCAACCACCTCTTAAACCAGGTGTTTTTTTTGCATCGGCACTTGGTAAGCAGACATATACTTTGCTAATGGACCAGCAACCAATGGGGAAGAGCACATAGAGTACATAGACACAGAGAGACACAGGGGATAAACACAAAATCCACACAATGGCCGCTAACAGCTAAAGGACAATAAATAATAACTACCTACCAGGACCATGTAAAAATGAACACAGACAAAGCACCATAATGTCTCATATCTGTGAAGAAACATCAACAAACTGCCCTAATGATGAAGCAGCAATGTTTTGTGTCTAAATAAAACGTGTGTTCATGGGCTGCATCCAATTTGTTTTTAAACCTCCTTCCTTATCCTTCCTTGATCTATCAAATGAGCTTTTAATGGATAATGTTTGCCCAGCTTCTTTTTTTTTTTTTGGTTCTTTTGAAAGACAAGTTAAATCCTAAAGCTTGGCAACGACTAGAATCCTATGAATGAGTTTTTTTTGACACAATCTTGGCTCAATCGGGTTACCAATTCATTCACAAATTTAATTAGCGGCATCCTGCGTATTTGTGCCGCCATATTGATTTTTTGAAGGGGCCTGTGCCTTTTTTCCTGAGAGAGTATCTGTTCCAAATGTCATGCTTTTAGAGCAAAGCGAATGATTCTGTTGAAATAAGCAATTCATCTTCTCCATTGTTAGTTCAACAGTTCATACACTACAAAAAAAGTGAGAAAATATGATGTAATAAACGATCGAATCAAGCGTTTTTGATCTTGATTAGAGTTCGTTCTGATTGTTAAGAAGATTTGCCAGTGGGACAAAGCCTTTTAGTCTTATTTCTCATTCCAAGTAGGACATTTCTTGTATCTTTTTAAAACAAGATCATTTTGCTTTCTTCCCATTCACAAATCTTGTTATAAGGCAGTCTAAATGTGCTCAAATTAAGATTCATTTTGCTAAGATTGAGCAATTTTTGACATATTTTTAATCACTTTTTGCAGCGTATCTCAAACTTTTGCCAACGCTGTGAATCCTTTGATCAGTCCTTTCTTTCAACTCTCTTTTTCAACATTGTATTCTGTGTCTTTCCTCCAGGTGCCATTCCCACAGACTTCGAGAAATACTACGGCTTTACCAAATTCGCCATCGAGCTGAACGAGCTGCACCCATCGTTAAAACTGCTGCTTCCTCCGACAGACACCAGACTGCGAGTGGACCAAAGGTTACAACAAACCGTTTATTTTAAGAATGAGAAGAGTTTCATGGTTCCTCAGATCAGGTGTAAAAACAGACTACTAAGAATGTGAGATCAGAGAGAGATGTGATCAAACACAGCTGCCTGGATGACATTTAGGAGAGAAAACAGGTCAGTGAAACGATCTAAGGACAATATTCTATTTTTATATATCGCTTTTATAAAAATAGCTGCTGCAAGACACACTACTGAAGGTATTTCTATATCAAAGGTGCCAAAATGTCTTCAAGCATTCACTTTCGCAGGGCTGCAAACTGCTTAGAAAATTCCTTGTCACTAATCAGAAATGTTTTCAGAACAGTGCAATATTCTTGGTCACACACTGGTGCAAAAAGTGATGAAAAATAAGTCAGAAATCGTTCAAATATAACAATGTGTATCTGAATTTGAACACATTTTGAATGCCTTAAAACAAGATTTGCCAACGTGACAAGCAAAAGCAATTATTATCTCATATTTTATCATTTTTTGCAGTGCATAAGGAAACTAGAAAAGCACTTGAGTCGCGGTTCCATTCCGTAAAAACTAAAATAATCCTGGATCCAGATGCTGATCCAAATCACCTCCGACATGGTAACATTTGTTCCCCATTTCAGAGGAATCTATAATTTTTTTGAGTGATGTTGCGCAACACCAATTATCAACATAATGACAAATAAAGCCCTGACATATCTTACTTTCTGTGTAATAAATCTGCCTTATATAAGTTTAACTTTGTAACTTGGATTAATTTCTTTATATATTTCACTTAAAATAAATAATAATTGGCACTTGAGCTTGAAGGTCGTGGGTTCGATCCCACCACCAACTCCCATTCATGTCTGCTGTCGTTGTGTCCTTGGGCAAGACATTCAACCCCACTTTGCCTGAAGCCCCCGCTGAAAGACAAAGGGGGCACAAACAGTAGAAAGCCTTAAAATGAAAAGCTGAACACATTAAAAGTTATTGAATTGAACTAGTGTTATAAAATGTATTTAGGTTCTGAGTGTGTGATGTGCAGGCTGCTGGAGGAGGGCCGACTGGAGGAGGCGGAGGAGGAGAAGCAGAGGATTGAAGACCTGCAGAGACAGCGACGTAGAACCCTGGAGGACAGCGGGCAGGCACACCAGCCCCAGTTCTTTAGGTCTGAAATCATTTTGTGTTTTTAGTCTATTTTTGTCAGGTTTAGAGGCAAGAGCGCGCAACAGGATTCTTAAATCATTATCAAAAAAATGCAAAAAACACCCACTATTTATGAGGAGGAAAGCACTGTCTTCATAGCCTCTCTGTGCTTTGACTGAAATAGAATGTGTCTGTTAAAGCTGGGGTACCTCGTTTTTTTTCTTTTCATAAATTATACACTTTTTGTCCCTACAGTAATGAGTAAGAATAAGAAAAGGAAAAAAAACAGACAATATCCGAATCCTTTTTATTGCCACGTAAGTAACAAAGTTACCAAGTTGGAAATTGTTTTGGCAGAGAGCGTGCCACTTCGCCATTTGCGGCGCTGTGTGCAAGCAAGAAACAGCAGAGAGCAATAACATACAGTTTCACGGACAATTGGATAGACACATTGTGCTTTTTATAAAACACGGATTTTTTTCTCGGGATGAGCACCTCCAACTGCCGGCCCAATGTGGCTGTCAGAAGGGGGCAGGGTCAGGGAGGGGGTGAGCCGGAAAGACAGTGAGGAGTGGAGGGGAGGGAGGGAGCAAGATGGATAGGTAGAGGGAGGCGGGGGGAGCGGGATCCGTGCTGGAGTAGTAGTTTGGAGGGACCAGTTTATCCGTGACCTTGGCCGAGGAATGTAGATAAGAGTGGAGAGGAGACAGCCACAACAATAGGGAAAACACATCGCCTTGATAGGGACATTTTTAAACGCAATGTAGCGGTCAAAAATAGGCAGATATACCTATGAATCCAATTAATCCGAATTGCGGCGCCCTCAAACCTCCGTACACAGGGGCATATCTGTGACGGGTCAGAGAGTTCATGATTGGCACACATTCACATTCATGTCATTCAGCCTCATCTCAAGTGTCTTATGTCCTTCGAGCGAGCGTGTTGCGAGGTCTTTAAGCAACTTCTCAATTAGTACAAATCTCCTTTGACCAGTCACTGCGCTCTCAACCACCACACGGCTTAACTCCTCGTACATCCCATCGATTTGGTTGGCCAGCAGCTCGTGAATCTTACGAACTGCCATGCCTCCGAATTTGCGGTAGAAAAGGACCGCTCCAAACCCGAAAAGGAGGATCCCCACCACCACCGTTCCAAAGATATATATGCTGTCTTTACTATTTTAGATAACATTATCTTTTGCATACGTACACCTGAGTCACTACTTGACGCTGATTGGCCGAGGGAGGGAGGTCCTTTCTTTTTTTCTTTTTTCTGTCAGAAAAAGCTGATCAAAAAACGTGACTAAGGCCAACAATACAAGTATGAAAAAACTAGTGCTATAACTGTTTTGAGAGCGAGGAACTATTCAGATGGACTTTATTTTTTAGATCGTTTTTGTAGCTTGAATGTTACGTACCCCAGCTTTAAATCTGCTTTTACGCTGTTGTTTTTTTAAATGCAGAGTATAGCGCCATCATTGAGCAGAGAAATTCAACATGATTAACAGCGCCCAATATTTAATGAAGAAAGAGTTGCTTACAATAAAGCTTCACAGTTCAGTTTACAATTGCATAGCAGTGCATTTTGATCTATTTTTAACCATGAAATAGACATTAGACATTGCAAATCTCTGTGTCAAGGGACTCCATTTACTTCTATTGAATGTATTTCCCATTAAAGACCTATGGAAACGAATCGGATTATTCTCCATCAACCTTTGTCACATGACATAATGGCTCCTCGTGACTGTATGTGGTTTGAAACAGGCTGAAGTGGCTCTGTCGCTTTAAAGGTTGCAGACTTCTGGACTGGGGACTACGTGGACTTTAGTCATCTGTGTATCTATCTATTTCTCTCTTCTCGTCAAGAACAAATGTTTTTTCAGATCTACCAGACCATCGTCTATCACAGACCACACCACAGTCAAGCTTTTACAGATCAATACAATACTGAGCCATGGTAAAAAGGTTATTTTAAAGATATATCCATCGCAAAAGTCTATTGGATAAAAAGTGTCATGTAAAGTCTTTGAGATGGATTAGTCATTCAAAGGTTCTTCCGACGTCGTTCACAGACTGTATAACAGGATGGACACTACTAACTGCACCTTTGACGCACGTAGGTTTTGTGTTTCGTTAGCCCCGTGAAACTGCGATAAGAAATAGCGCGTCAGAGCCTGGATCACATCTGCTCCAGGGATGTCTCAAATACAGCGTTAAGTTCTCTGCATGGATTTAATGTAGAAACTTAAAGTAAAGCGCCCAAAACAGCTGCTCTTGACGCTGAGTGAGCCGCATGTCTCCTGCAGTGGTAGCAGCGTTTACATTCACTCCGTGCTGCTTAAGGAAACAAGCACAAAACAGGGAGTTTTGACGTGGGTGTAGCATGCTTGTAGCAGTAAACAAGTAGACAGACAAAAGCTGACAAATATTGTCTTTGTAAGAAGAAAAATAAAGGGAACAGACCAGCCTCACTTTTGATTGGCTCTTGATTGGTTGTTATGAGGTTACTATGTGAAACTTTTTCTCCAAAGTCCCGTCCATTCATCTAATTCGCGTTTGCTCTCATCTTCTTCTTCTGAGAATGCTATGGGTGATGTCTTGGGCTGTAACTAACAATTATTTTGATAATAGATTCATAATTGTTAAATGTATTATGTCATTACTGAACCCACATCTCTGCACACACGTGTCGGAGTCTGTTTATAGAGCAGTTAGTTTCATCGATAACAGTGGCACACAGATGAGTCAAAATGGAAATGGTCCCATTCAAAAAATACAACAAAAACCTCTGCATATTTTTTAATGTATTTTTTTTCATCAAAGAAGCCTCACATTACAATATTGACAATAGGCCTGATTTGAAGGTATATTACAGCAGTGAGATTTCCAAACGTCTGCTTGGTCTCTGAATAAAAATTATGATGCAGAAACACAAAAGAGATCTATCCGAGTGTTTCAAAGGAGGCACGCTGCATACATTCAATAAAAGAATAGCAATTCGCACATATAGGGCAATCAAAGCAGATCTGTAGGCATATTTCGCATTCTTTGAACCATTTCCAGGCAGAGGCTTTGTAGAAAACTGTCAGACAGGCAAATATTCATCAGCGACGTAACCCACGATGCCACCAACTCACAGCATCATAAATTTCAAATAGATGGCTGTCCTTCAGTGTATCTTGTTTACCATGCACACAATGTTTCGCATGGCATTAATCATTTCATAATTTCACCCGAGAATTAAGGGAATGCGAGCGCTTTGAAATACAAAGAAGGCTCCGGTGTCGGATTCATTAATGACCCCATCTTATTTTCTATTCATTTATACACTTTTAATTAGGCTACTTTGATTTATTTCTCGTCACATTAATCCTGCAATTGTTTAAGAGGGTAGGGGCTGTGTTAAATCAAAGGGGAGATGCAGGAGCAATGTTGAGCGGGAAGTGCTCTGTGTGTGAATGCAAACGCAAGAAAAATATGTGAAATAATAACAAACAACACAATTCGAATGTCTTAATGTTTCAGTAAGAGAGCAACAAAATTATTCAGGTGAAGAAAAAGATGAAGAGAAGAATATTGGTTTGTATAGCACATGATTTGTAACTCAATGTGAAAAGTCTATGTGGAAAAGGCAGTCAGGAGAAATGTTAGCTCTGGGCATTACTCGGAATACCCATATGCTACAATAATTTTGAACTGCACGAGAGCTTGGGAACTCGAGCTGAAATGTTCACATAGATTTGGGAACCAATGACAGAATGGGGAGGGAAGGCAAGACTAAGATTATTCCACTATTACACAGACTGAAGTGTGTAGTTTGTTTACGGATCCAACAAGATGGTAGCTATCTTCCCTCATAACTAGTTGCCCAAAAGACAATAATAGAGTAAAGGATAGTAATAATTTATCTCTTCCCTCGTGGTTGTATTTTTTTAAGTCAGCATACGGTATCGTGTAGAACTAATATGATACTATGATACATGGGACAATGGACAATGGTGAAGCACATCTCTCCTATGAGAAGATGAATGCACGGTTCCTCGACGACATGTTCACCTACGATATTTAGTCCGTCGTGCGACTCAAGTCATGTTTTCTCTAACACAGGCTTGAAATCTGTACATTCAATGCAATAGATACAGGACAATCTTGGAAAATTGGGCTGTTTAAGTCTGCCCAAAGTCTGACAATGGATGTTTAGGATTTGTCTGTAGCATTTAGAATGTTCATAGAATGGAATGGTTTAAAGAAGAACATTTGCTTGTGATAAAAAAATAATAATATTAAAATAAAAGATCTAAAAATTCTTGTTCATATATGCTTTCCATTGAATGTGATGGTATTGAGCTGTTAGGCAAATAAGAATTTAGGGAAAAAATCTGTCTGGTCAAAGCTTATAGACAAAAATCTGAATATTTTTTGCTGAAGATGACGCACTGTTTTTTACACTGTTGAGTGTTCTTTAGGATGATGGAGCGTTCAGGCTGTCATGAAGGTCCAATGTTGACTGGTGACTGATAAATAGCTCCAGCAGAGAGAGGCATGTTCGAATGCAAACTTCAGATTAGAGACTCATTGATTTCTCCCAGGTTCAACTCCAGTTGCTATGGTGATAATAGAAAGATTCTCAGTGTCTTTAATTGTCTTTATCCTTTGAAAGGCCAGTGATAGCAACATGCTGCGTTATCAACACATGACTGAAGAACACAGGCGATGCAGAGGCTTCTATCTCATGCTAATCTGTGACTTGAGGCCTGATGGCAGCCCACCAATTTACTTGCCATGTACTGTATCTGCGTCAGTTTGAATCAAGCAGGCTTGAGCTAATGTTCAATGAATTAATTTTCTTCAAGATTGTGCCTTGTGTCTGTGCGGTGAACTGCACTGACATTACCTACATGGAAAGTACTGAAGAAGTTTTAATCTACTTTTTAATGAAGTCACCATTTCTTTCCCATCACATCAAAGTATATTTTATGTGTATAAGCAAGAGGTTTAGATTAGGGATGTAAATCGGTGACCGGTTAACCGGTGGTTGACCGTCA